AATATTTAATTTAGTGTATGTATTATTAAGTAAAATTTATATATAAAATAAAAATTCCTTTCAATTCATGAAAATGCTTAGAGATCCACTGATAAATATTTAATAATAAATATGTAAACAAATTATTTTTCAGGATTTATAAGTATTTCAATTTTATAAATATTACACAAATGAATTAAGCCCAATGATTTGTTAATCATTAAGACATATTATGTTATGCGTTGAAGAAGATGTTCCTACTATATGTTTTGCTAATCTCTGCGTGCAAAATTGTCGAAGCAAAAGTTTTCGTTAATATTTCTGGAGACATTATCTTAGGTGCTCTTTTCCCAATACACAAAAAAGGTTTGGGTACGGAGAAATGTGGTAAAATTCAAGTAAGTAATATTTATCATCGTATGGGCGTAGTAACTAATCAACCTGATTGACACGTAGAACACCAATTGCAATAATAATTCGATAGTAGCAAAAATTTTTTTATATCTGTATTTAGTGTTATACATATTTGTATATTAAATTTAATTATGTATTAATGATAATTTTATGAAAGTAAATATCGCTTATGTTGTAATTGTCACAGTATTGTTATGTATTTTTGTTTTGTTTCGGTTTTTGTATTATCATATGTTTTTTTTTTTATCAAGTAATTTGTACGTATAGAGTTATAAAATTATAAAATAGTTCTCTCTGTTAGTTTCAGTTCAAAGTATTTTTATCAATTGAAAATAAATATAAAAACAAGAAGAATAAAAATTTTTTTTTAAGCTAGTTAACTTGTTAATAAATATGTAAATTAATGTTTATAAATGTTAATTTAATTTAACGTTTATTTATTGAAAGAAATTAAATTATATTCTTATAATGTATGAATTGTAGTAATATTGTTTTCTGTATTGTAACACGACTCGTTCTACTCGTAGATTCATAGATTTATTCTTTTACTTTTTTTTTTTTTTTTTTTTTTTTTTTTCCGTTCAATATATTTGTAATAGATGGAGGATGGGATTCAGCCATTAGAAGCGATGATATATACTGTTAGTGAAATAAATCGTAATCCTAATATCCTACCAGGAATAAATCTCGGCGTACTAGCGTTCGATTCTTGCGACAATCCACATTATGCCCTCGAGCAAGCATTACATTTTATAAAAGGTTTGTGCAGTGCAAGTAAGATGTAATTTCTAGTATCTTATTAACATATTAATGATAATAGTCCTTTTGTAATGACAGATAGAGACTATTAAAATGCACCGATTTGCTAAAATAATTCATTTTAATATTTATTTATGTAAAAAAAAAAAAAAAAAAAAAAAAAAAAAAAAAACAAAGACTTTAAAATTACTGTCGAAACTGTTTAAAGTTAAATAATTACTAAAGGTTTAAAAGTATCTGTGAAGTGATTGAAAATTAGAAAAAATTTTCAAATTATTGGCAAAATGAACAATTTTGTATGCTTTTGTAGTAATTTTGTAAATTTGAAATGCACATTTAAGAATGTCTTATGAGACACATTTTTGTCATACTTTTTTCTCGATGAATAATTATTTATTTCTCTGTGAATAATGGCGCACAGGTTTCATAGCTCATGTCAACGAATATCACAAAGTAGAATTTCAATGCTTGGACGGTAGCGTACCAAAATTTCTCGGTGGAGATTTTGATAAAGTAGTAGCAGTTTTAGCTGCTCAGTCGAGTTCTGTTACGTTACAGGTAAATTGTCAAATTCAAGTTATGTAAATTAAAGTAATTATACGAATAAATTATTGTCTCGAATCCATTTTTGCCTTAATAAATTGGCTAAGCTATATTGTGTATAAATTGAAATTAAATTTATAAATTTTGTTATGACATTTAAGATTACGTTGAATTCAAACTTTATTAAGGTTGATTGTATAAACCATTACTTTAATCAATCATTCAATTAACGTTTAACTGCTACTTTTATTTTAATGAAATCGAATGGTTCTATTAATAGAATCGAATCCATTGATCTATCGAAGCTGCTTTAACTTTCGTTTGTCGTAGAAGAAAAGTACACAATTTTTCGTTATGTCAGTCGATGATTAAATATAGAAGGGTAGATTGACAGACGGATGACTGCCGCCGACTTATTAATAGTATTTACGTACGTTGTTTCTCCCTTTTTTTCTTTTCTTTTCTTTTTTCTTTATTTCTATTCTGGTATTTAAATTTTAAGTGACTAATTTCCTCAAAAGAAAAAATGACGTCGAGCCAGTTGAAACTCACACTCGAATGTAAATTAAAATTGTCTCTTCATTTTCTTATTTTGTTTTCTTATTTTGTTTTATTGTTGCTTTAGTTAATTGGAAGATTATAAATTATATATATTTTGTTTCAATAACATAAAACTCTAATCAATTATTCAGAAATTGTTTTATACAAATATTTATATTTTAATATATAGTATATAAAAATTCTATAATATTGCATAATGGGAAAATGATGAAAAATGAGTTGTTGTTGTGGGGCGGTTGGGGGGGGGGCGGGGGGCGGTGTCCGTAAGCTCCAAAGCGTAAATAGTGCTTTTTTTTATTTTTGTTTTGTTTTCATAGGTCGCATCGATACTCAGATTGTTTTCGGTACCACAGATTTCATATATGGCTACATCACCTTCACTTAGTAGTAAGGAAAGGTTCTCACACTTTTTCAGAACTGTGCCGAGCGACGTTAATCAAGCCCATGCAATGCTCGAGATTCTCAAGTAATATTTTATTTTTTACTTCTTAGTTATTCTACATATTGTTATTATATGTATGTATGTGTATATATATATATATATATATATATATATATATAGTCTCGATTGTCTTTTTTTTTTTTTTTTTTTTTTTTTTTTTTTTTTTTTTTTTTTTTTTTACAGTTCATCTAAATTATTAAAAAGATGCTTTCCTTTATTCTAAAATCGAATGATTTTCTTTTCTTTTCTGCCTTCGTTAAAGTAAAATAAAAAATAATTTTATAACTTGTTTTAATATAACTGTTTTAATATTAAATATTTAGGTGAATATTATTAAAAAGAATCGTCGATCGAATTGATTGACCTAAGAGTTATATTGAATTAAATAGAAGTAGCGTAAAGTAAGATTGAAGTATTTGTCATATTAGTCAAGTGTATTTCATCAATTCTTAATCGTATATTGTGGAACGTACAAAGTAAATAAATTCCTCAGGATATTATTATATTTTGTATATTAGTTACATATCTATCGTATGCTCGGATAGAATGATAAGTTGTAAATGTCTTCAGTAACGAAAACGATCGATGCTGACTAGATGACCATAATCGATCGAAATTTGAACAATTAAATTACATTTAATAATTATATATCAAATTATATATATCCGAGTTTAATGAATTTTTATTACATCGAAGTACAACAATTATTAATAATGAGTTGAGCATTAATACCACTTAAACTTTTCTTTGTATTTTCATAATTTTTTCTTCTCCCTTCCTTATGTTTGGTTTATTATTATATTTTGTAATTTATAGTAAATTTTAGTTTGAATAACATAACGAATAATTTTATCACAATAAATTTATAAAAAAAAATACACTGATACTTTATGGATAATTTTTGTATGTTCTGAATTGAATATTGACATTGGCTTATGAACTGTAAAACATGTTATTCTATATTTATATAGTAGAATAGTACAAATTTTCACTGATACATTGGCTGTATAGTAATATTATAGCAGATTACGTCACACAGTCCGGGTAATTAGATATAGTTCGGGAGACACTATGGGACAATGGGTAACATAATAGCGGATGTTCTTATTCAATTGTTAATGTAGCGTTAGCGTAGCACTCCATCATATTCGTTTGATACAAATGGAATTGTATGTAAAGGAATGTAGTACAATTCGTACACATTTGTGTCTACGCACTCATGGTCCCATTAAAATAAAAAAAAAAAAAAGAAAAAAAAAAGAAAGAAAAAAAAAAAAAAGAAAAAAAAAAAAAAAAAAAAGAAAGAAAAAAAAAAAAAAGAAAAAAAAAATCTCTAAATATAACGTTAATATTATTCATACTCAATATTAACTCATTTTTTTTCTTTTTATCTCCCATATAGGCAATTCGAGTGGACATACGTATCAATTGTTTATTCGGACACGGAGTACGGTAAACACGGATACGAGACTCTTGTATCCCTCGCTAATAAATACTCGGTTTGCTTTAGCGCTCCCCAGCGCATTGACAAGGACCGTTTTTTACCCGAAGATTATGATAATGTGATTCGAACGATTACGAATAAAACAGAAGTTCGTGGTGAGCACGAGTTGTTTATATATCACATACATGTTTTAAATTTACAATGCCTAATGTTAGCTGAATTATTTGAATTAATCGTATATTTTATTGGGCTTATTTATTTAATTTTACTGCACTTATCTTAGCATGGAAGCGCTTTTTTATATGTTCGTTAGCTGATTCTTTTCTAATAAATAATATGTGGCTTTAGTAATATAAAAATTATTATTTATTCATACTAAAAGCGTAAGTAGATAATATTTTTGTCTTCAAGGGCATAGTTTATAATATTTTAGTCACTCTATTGTTTATTCTGTTTATACATCAATTGATTACTGATTTTTCTATCGAATAACATTACGTACTCATATGTCATTCTAAGCCTATGTTATAACTATTGTAATATTTATTATTTCATTTTTTGTATTTAAATGTTAAGTATATTATAAAGTAAGAGTAGTTAAATGATTATTTTTTCGAATTTTTTTACCTCCAATTAGCTCAACATTTTTTGAAATATGGTAGTTTCATTTCGTTTAATTAACAGTAACATACTTTCATTTCTTTTTTTTCAATTGAACGTTCGTTATACCTCAGCCATACTTTCATGACAATAGTTCAAAATATTGTTACATTGTTCGCGCAGAATTTAATTTATACAATATTTAATGAATTTATATTGTTTTCATATTGAAAGACAATATAAATGGATAAATTTAATTTAATTTACTATTTAGATTTAAGCGTCGCCTGACTTAAGTCGGATTCCACTACTACGTGTCACTTTATACGTAGTATTTAATGAAATTTACATCTGGTATTGCAAATTAATTTTTTACAAACAATGTATTGTAAATACTGTAATTAAAAATACACCACAGTCTATCAAATTCTCAGAGTCTGTAGATAATTGTAAAAGAAGCTATTAGGAACGCATTATATTAAGTAATATAAGAGAAATTAATTATAAGCTTATCGTAAACTCTATGTATTTAACATCCTTAATTAATTTTAGATATATATATATATATATATATATATTTTTTTTTTATTTTATTTTTTTTTTTATTAGACAAAGTAAGCTAATTAATCTGGAGTCATAGAAATGATAATATTATTTCTATATATTATAAACTATTCAAAGATGTTTTGGCTTTTACTCGAGAGTTGGTTCTCTGCTTAAGATCAGAATATACCAGATTTTATAATATAAGATGACGTAACAATATATTTTCACATTAAATAAAAATTATATCTAAGCTTCGAATAATGAACTGTCGATATTATTTTAGCTCAATTTTGCTCGTATATTTACTTAATCGATAAGTGTATGCAAAAAATGATATATATTAGTTTTTCTTAGTCCATCGCTCAATATCATAAATAAAGTGTATATAAAGAAAATTAACAATAATATTAAACAGAATACACATAAATAAACTAGCAAAAAATTTGTCTTTGATGTCGAAAGTGGTCGTACTATTTGCCGAGAAAGTGGCGACGCTACATGTGATGGAAGCTGCACGTCGCCTAGGCGTTGGGAGGCGATTCGTCTGGATCGGCAGTGACGCCTGGTCATCCAGTAATCACAGTAACAACATTCTCGATCCGAGTTTGCGTAAAACTGAGGAGGTCGTTTTAGAAGGCGCCTTGGCTGTGCAACCACTGTCCCGACAAATGCCCGGCTTCGATAACTACTTCACAGGATTAAATAGCAGCCACGAGGCTGTGAATCCGTGGTTCCGCGAGTTCTGGACCGAGTATCATCGGCCAAATATCAACGCTTGCAAGACCAAAGTCAACAATAATCATAACGAGGTTGAAAATCTGTCAATAACTATCATTATTATGAATATATATTATTAGAAGAAAATAAATATTATCCTACATATTAATATTAATACTTACGTAAAATATATAAGCGATAGTACGTACAAGTGAAATGTTTTTGCCTGTAAGCAGTGGAGATTGTATGTGAACTAACTTGGTGAGGTACGATAATTTTTTTTTTTCAGACACTTGACATAGAGGATGGATGCTTCAATGAAGCCATTCATAAAATTACTCGAGAATCGGGCTACAAGCAGCAGAAATATATACATTTCGTGCGAGATGCCGTATATTCGGTTGCACACGCTCTTCATGATATGTTCATCGACAGATGCGGCAAAGCTTATAAAGGAATCTGCAAAGGCATGCAACATATCGATGGGGAATCTTTGATAGAATACATAGCTAATGTATCGTTTAAAGGTTTAGTAAATTACATTTGCCTAGAATGGCATTTACACTATTCACATGATAATCAGTACTACTTGACGTTAAAGAGAATTTCAAGCTTTTATTAATTAATTGAATAAATTTAATTGTCAAAGAAGGTAATAATCTTGATTGAAGCTTATAGATTTTTTAAAACGTATATTTTAATATACAAATAACACATGTTATTGTTTATGATACGTATACATTTTTGCTTAAATACAGTAATAATGCAAATTTTTCAAATGATTGAATATAATATCTCATAAATTAAGAAAATCAGCCAATAAATTAGGCTGATGGAGGGAATAATTTATATTGATTAATCGATTGCTTTAACAAACTTTTTCAGATTATTTATTTTCACGCATGCATAATCAATTTTTTAACCCGTTAAACAAAATTATCTCCATTCTCTCGAGAAAATATTTTATAATATGAAAATAAATATGCATACATTTACACGCTATCATTATTAATGAAATGAAATATCCAATAATTTACATTATAATAATAATGTATTTTGAAAGTGAAAAAAGGTAAATTTTATACTAAATCAATAATGTCCCTATTAACGATTCAATGGACTTCTAATTATGAGTATTAATAATATTTTCACAATTATTATTTATTGAAGAATGCTTGTAAATGTTTGAATGAAAAATTCTACGAGATATTCTTGACTCGTATTGCATTAAGATAACTATATAAGTAGAATGAAAGCCAGAGTACTTGGTAAATAAACGTCCGTTATTTATGAGTTTTAAAAACTTTGCAGTTAACAATGATAACTGACAGTGTATGATTAATTTTTCACAATAATAACAATGTTTAATATTAAAAACATCTTAATAGGTGTAGTTGAATCAACATGAGAAAATCTTTACAGATGTTGCTGGTAACAAATTCAGATTTATGAACTCCGTTGATGGTCCACCGAGATACTCAATTTTAAACTATCAGCAAGATAGTAACGGATTATATCGGTGGCTAGTTGTTGGAAATTACACGCGTAAGTTTCAATCAATTCATCGTATTTATTTTTACAAAATTCTTTCATACGTTTTAAACTTTCGATTGGGAAGAGTATATAATTTAGCCATCCGCGTCTTTCTATTACATATATTGGGACGTTTGTGAAACGAAATTCTCATTTTGTCGTTAATATACGAGGACGATTTCTATATATTTACAATCTATAATTTATAATAATCAAATTACTATAAAGTACTGATAAATTACAAATCAAAAAAAAAAAAAAATTAATCTTACGGATGATAAATTATGTAAATCTTGCGGAGAATGATACAAAAAGCTTTTTCTAAGATTAGTTATTACAAAGTCTCGAACTCTAAATAAATGGAAAAAAAAAAAGAAAAAAAAATCAATAAAACTAAACATTAGAAAACGAAAGCGGCAGCCCCGTGCTTCAACTGGACCAGCAATTAATTAAGTACCGAAGTCAAGAGATAAGTGGACGTCATTTTTTTCCAAACTCGACGTGTGACTCGCCCTGTCATATCAGCCAAGTCAAGGTTCGGGAAAAACAGGACCCCTGCTGCTGGCGTTGCAGATATTGTGGTCTCTATCAATACAAATTAGATGATTATAGATGCGAGGATTGCGAATGGGGCAAGCGGCCAACCGATGATAAAATCTCTTGTTCATCGATACCCGAGGAGTTTATTGATTACACAAGTCCATGGGCCGTCGCTGCAATGGCAGTTGCTACGTGCGGTACGTACGAGTCTTTGCCATTTCATAAGTAATAGAATAAAAAAAAAAAAAAAAAATTCAATTTTAATCTTTCCCATTGTTACTCGCAGTTTAATAAACATTTCAATGTACACATTCAACGGACACTCTGAATTATTACAAGCAATAATTAAATTACAGTTAATTTAATGTGTTTTTAATTCATGATAAAAAGAAAAAAAAAAAAAAAAAAAAAAAAAAAAACAACAACATGTAACTATTTATATAAGGGATATCAAGAATTATTTCATGATTGCATAATTCACCTTGAGTCGTAATGAAATATTTAAATTTTGTCTTTTTTTTTTTTTTGTAACAAATGGTAAATTAAAAATAAATTACAAGTACATTAAATAGAAAATCATTTAAATAATTGCTGTACTTTTGCATACATTTAAAATATACGAATTGTTAAACAATACATATTATACTTAAATGGAGTATGTATATAAATAAATAAAGTAAAGATATAAAGTTGATTATTCTTGTATCGATCAATTCTACACTCCATAAAATTAGATAAAGATAAAAAAAAGATGGCATCCATTATTATTCAATTGTATCAAATATTTATTTTAAAATTTCAGGAATTCTCCTAACTATCTTTGTACTGTGCATTTTTTGGTTGTACAGCAAAACTCCAATAATAAAAGCTTCGGGACGAGAATTGTCTTCATTACTACTTCTTGGCACATTGATTTCCTTTCTTATGACCTTTGCCATTATTGCGAAACCTAATACTCAAACTTGCGCCATAACCAGATTTGGCATTGGTCTATGTTACACTTTGTGCTATTCGGCCCTTGTTACCAAAACTAACAGAATTCACCGAATATTCAACAAAGTCACTAATAGCCCGCATAAGCCAAGGTAGTCAGTTTAATTTATTAATTTATTAAAGTTTTATAATGAACTATTGTAATATTAGTTTATTAAATAACTATTATCGATTAAATTGCTTAAACAAACATGTTGCACAAAAATGCTGTTACGTATGCCGTGTGAGAGCTTTAATTATCATTTGAATACATTATATGACAATTTTATATGAATTTATACTCGCAGTATTATCCAAATAGAAATATCAGTAAATATAAATTTCCCTATGAATTACATTTCATGCAAATGTTACAAATACTACGTTATTCTGCTCGAATGTCAAGTCTTTAATAATCATAAATTTTCATAAAGCATAGCATATAAAGATAATTAATAATTAACGTGAGAATTATTTTTTGTGTTTCATTAGAAAATAAGCACTTTATCGGGCATTTTTAATCTCTCTTGTAAATTAATGTTCTTTTCCAACTTAAAATGTTATGAAATATAAATTTTCAATGTGTCTTCTAACATTTATTTGGATTTATATTCACATACAATAATAACAACAACAACAACAATAACAATAACAATAACGATAATAGTATTATCGTTTTGTATAAAAATTAACGAAAAATGCCTTTATTTGTTAATTCTTTTGCGCTTGGACGCAACGCTATTGCGTTGTTGGAAAATTGCTGAAAAGCCCAAATACAATGATTGTGTGTGTCTCTCTCTGTGTGTGTGTGTGTGTAAATAGGTATACGAGTCCCGGCTCTCAGTTGATAATAACGGGGATTCTAACGCTCGTTGAAGTTATAATAAATGGCGCGTGGTTGCTGAAGGCGCCACCAGCCGCGACTTACATTTTTCCAACGAGAGATACACGACTTAGAATTTGCCAAGGATTTAACGATCGATCGTACATTATTGGTCTCATCTATCCATTCATTTTGATTGGTAAGTATTTGACCAAATACAATATGTCATGAAAAAATTAATTGACAATGAATATAACGTATAATATGAATCTGCACAAATATCGAATATGCTCGGGTAGTTGCGCATAATTTTCTTTATTAAATTTATTATATAATCGATGAGCGCGTTCAAGATTTTTTTTTACTACGAAGCACCAATTTGCTGAAATATTAAGCATCGCTTTATAAAGTAATCGATCGAAGCACCGTCATTTATTCATATACGTAAGAAAAATTAATAATCATAACACGTCGATACACCTTAATAGGGAAGTAAATTTATGGACAATTATTTATGATAATAATGAATTATAAAAATACAATCACGTTTCAATGAATGTTATTTTCACATCCAAAATTGTTTGACAATAAGCCTATGGATAGTTTCATTCAATCTAAAGACATTTGTGTTATTTAATTTTGAAGGTACTGGCGCAGGAGCGAGACGCTGCGCCTAACAACAAAATCTATATTAATTGCCAATGTGATTTTACGTTAACAGTCATTTGCACGGTGTACGCGGTGAAGACACGAAAGTGCCCAGAAGGTTTCAACGAGACCCGTCACATAGCTTTCACCAACTATACGACCTTGATTCTTTGGATGGCCTTTGTGCCCCTTTACTTGGCTTCCACGAGTAATGCCATTCGCGTTGTCACCCTTGCGCTTTCGCTATCATTGAGCGCCTTCGCCCAGCTGGCTTGTCTCTTCTTTCCCAAGGTCTACATTGTTCTCATAAAGCCCCAAAAGAATACAAAGGAGCTTGTAATGGCCTATCATCGGAGCTCCTCTTACGTACCAACCTCGGCAACTTCAACCACACCTGTCGTCATATTAAATGGTAATCCACTTGATTGCGGAGGGAAATAGACCGAGCGCTTACAATTCTTTTACACGCATCGGCTGAATCGGAATTTTAGTCGGATTATATATTATATTAAACATCGAGTGACAGCCAATTGAGTTATAAATTTCATTCATTACGTATTACGATTGGTATTATATTGTCATTTTTGTTTAGTACAGTATTAGTTATTTAGTGGTAGAGCATAGCACATAGATTTTTGATTCGTAAGCTTTATTTAAATATTTCAATTATTTATTTATTTATTTTGTTTATTTATTTATTTTTTTAATTACACGATATTGCACGTAAGAGCCCAATTATTAAAAAATTTTTCCAAAAGATTTATGATTGTTAATAAAGTGGGTAGGAGGAAATTATGTCTAGCACGAGACGTTTTCAAAGACACGTTGTATATTAAAATTTTCATATCAGATCGGTAATGTCAAATAATACTTGTTAACATATCTACGTACACCAGATATATTAGAATAAGAATATTAAAGTACTTAAAGGTAAAAAAAAAATTATATCGATACGTTAACAGATAAAATTATATCAATAACCTGAAGAAAAAAAAAAAAATTAAAATAAATTCTGTGAAAATTTTTATTTTAAAATTTGTTTCTTTGAATTTTCGTTTTATTTCAACTTAATTCGAAATATTATATATATATATATATATATATATATATATAATACAAAAGAGAGAGAGAGAGTAACCGAGTGAATTTTACAGTCTTTTACAGACATGTTACAGTTTTTGAAATAATAATCTTATGTCAACCATATGCTATAAAAATAAGTCAATGTTGCACAATGTAAAAATCAAAATTTAATCATTTAATCTATTTGTCAAAATATATACCATAACTTATATTACGTTAAAACATTCACAATATAATTATTATTATCATATGTGTGCGAGTATTTCGAATAATCTTATAATAATTGTATTGTAAATATTACACGTATCGTTTGGTCATTGTTTGATATTTAATTGTTATTATCATTATTCGCCTTGTTAAGATGCTTAATTAACAATACAGAATTTATTTTTTCTATTCAATCTGGTAATTGAATTTATGATAAATGTTTTAACATTATGCCTACCGTACTGTTAAATTCTTAATGTCAGAATTATTAATGGCATTTTAGGAATAAGACATTCTAAAAATGAATCTGTAAAATTAACGTCTAATGTTTATCTGTGAAAATGGCATTATTATTTAATCATTCTATTGAATTAATGTACAACTTAAAAGATAAATATAGTGTATATATTGTCAACATTGTAATTAGAATTATGTATATAATGTATAAAAATATAATAATATTTAAATTTAAAATTGCAAAAGACTATGCTAGTTTTTGCACTACATTCATAATATTTAAATAAAACGATATTTTGTAATTTATTTGATAAGACATAAAATATAATACATTAATGAGAGGAATAAATGAATATACAAGATTTGATTAATTATTTGTAAATATATTATTAATTAACATCTATAATATAGTAATGAAAAACCATTTATATTTGTTGGGATCATTATAATTCAATCCGATAATAAAACACTCATTATGTATGGATTTTAAAAGCTTCTTACAAACTCAGATTCGGTCTTCCTGCTTTTTCATTCGTAATATTGATTTTTATTGGTTTATCAAAATTTGCTGCACCCATGATGTTTCGAAGCTTAATAATTCCCTATTCTCTCACTTATGCGTTATTGAATTTCCACGACACGACTCTGCCTTATTATTCAATTAATTTTTATAACGCAAAGTTGATATTTTCCATCATTTTAGTAAAAAATGTAGGTATCGTTAAGTGTCATTTTATTTCTTTTACACGCAAATATCTTACAATCTAACTAACTACTGTTTCAAACGCGATTTATATTTTTCTATACAAAATCAATGCTCGATAGACTAATCGTTATCAGACTAGAGACGGTAATACTCGTTGTGTTGCGTTTTTCACTTTTCCCAAAGGGACGTTCAAGAAAATGAATGAATTAATCTTTTATAGTTGTTACATTAAAAACAGTAATAAATTGAAGAAAATTAACGTCTTCGATACAAGGTGAGCAATATTTTTATTACTCTATATTAATATTTCGTGAAATCGTAATAACAAAAGTGACATTTTTCGATTTACTTTTGTTAAAAATAAATAGCGCTTGCTCAATCTATGCGCAACTTGAATGTCGTCACTCAGTGAATATTTATAACTTTTTTTTCTATTTAATTAGCATTACATTTTACTTATTTAATACTTTATTCATCAAAGTTTCGAATTTCTGTATTTTTGGAATCATTTTCTCCATCATAATAATAAATTATTTATTATTTCATATTTATTACTTAATAATAATAATACGAACAATCTTATTAGCAACAATATGTATTATTATTATAAATAGTTTACATCAAGTATTTATTATGTTACAGATTCCAAAAAAAAAAAAAAAAAAAAAAAAAAAAAAAAAAAAAAAAAAGGGGGACAAAAAAAAAAAAAAAAAAAAAATTTTTCAAGAAGTAAGAAATTTTGTTAATTACAAACGGGAAAATGAGGAAATTATTTGTCATATTACTTATTGAAATTAATTTTAGAAGATCGGGTCGAACAATTATTAGAAATTATTTTAATTATGTACAGATAGAATAAAAGATTATGTATCTTAACAACGATATTTATACACCTTATTGAAATTTCATTTAAATTAAGTTTAAATTCTTATTATAAGTTTGATCATGGAATAGCAAGATAAATTTATTTTAAAATTTGTGATTATGTAATGTTCCAATTATAATTAAATATTGTTTTTTTTTTTTTTTTTTTTTTTTTTTTTTTTTTTTTTTTTTTTTTTTATTTTTTTTTTTTTTTTCTTTTATTTTTTTTGTTAGATATTTTACTTTACTATGTAATTTTTTTAATACTTTAAAGAAATTCTCGTCAAAGATAAATGTTCAATTATGAATATACAGGAAAATAATATTTTTTTTTTTTACGTAAACGCTGTTGTTTATAATCTAATAATTGAACTTCCCACAAACATCTTCAACGGAATATGTGACAATGATCGATTTTTATGAAATATCAACACTAACTGTATACAAATTCGCAGGTGTAAGTTCATCTTACAATTATGAATCTATGAAATTGGTTATTATAAATACCCTGAAGCTACATTTAGACTCTTTAATATTGTATATTTATATTAACAAAATTTTACAAGAATTTTTCCTTTAACAATATAATTTCTTACATGGACATTGTCGTCTCAAGTCAATAGCGTTTTTTATTATGATGACGCAAAATGTATCAACTGCTTTATTTATATTTATTATTATTTTCAAATTACTATTTACAGTCTTAAAATAGTATGTAATGTCAATACTAAAGCATTCATTTACATTATATTTACACGCTGTAAAAATATAATTTAAGAGCGAAAGCCAAACATAAGCTCAACTGCATTTTAATTTGCCATTTCTATGAAATTTTTCAATCTATTAAAGAATTTTCCATTCTTCTAGAAGAAACATCTATTATAACAATAATCATGTCAATATATATAAAAAAAAAAAACTTTATTTTAAATTAATGATAATTGCTTTCAAATTTTCGACTAAAATTTTCGATTAAAATTCTTCTTAAATTACATTTTACATAATTTTCGCGCTCATTATTTTTTTTACACAAAAATTAAATTAAACATTATGTAATATTTAAAATATAGCTATACAATTTATTGTGACTATGATAATAGTTGAACATCATTGTCTTACGTTTTCATTTTATTTAAAGAATGTTAAATACAATATTGTTAAGTATTGTTCGGATGTAATTGTTAAAAATCAACAATAGACAATTGCAATGATAAAATTTATCATAAACACCAAACTAAATTATTAAATACTTCATAGTTTGATGCTAAGATTTTAATAGTTAAGCTAGTGTCAATTCATGTTATCTAGTAGAGTTGGGTTTTTATTAAGCTGAACATCAAATTTTTATGACGTTTAACTATTAATGTAAATCATTGCCCTTCGTCGTCGCTTCTTCATCGTTTATTCGTTTCTTTGAAAAAGACCGGCTTTCATTATTTAATTAAAATAGTTTGGATCAAAAATATTTATGCTTTATTAAATTTCGCTGTAAATTGATGAGCGAATATTATTATTTATTATTTTATTTTTTTTTAACGTAGTATAGGTGAGTGATAATCTTTTCAAGATTAATCTAATATTAGTTCATTATTTTATGTATTTACTTTTCTCTGTGCAAGATTGAAGTTTTTACTTTAATTTGATTTTAGTTTTATTCTATCTTTATACATATTTATTATCTAGTTTTCGATATGTCATTTCATGTAAATTGAATATTTAATTTATCATCGGATATTTCATGAAAATATCGAGAGAATGGTTATTTTTTTACAATTTAGTTTTTCATAGCTTTTTGTTAAATAAAATTATATACTTCCGAATACTTTCTCATTTTCAGTAGAGAATTATGATTTTTTTGAACTCTTAATATAGAAAGGTACAATTAATTATAAATTGTATACAAAAATTCATTTTCTTCAAGTTAAAAAAAAAAAACTTTTTAATAGTTTGAATTAAAATTAAACTGTGTTATATTAATTTTGTATAGTACATTATCATTAACATTAACCACGAAATAATAATTTTCTATAATACAATAAATATGAGTGGGCCTTGAATGAATTTTTTTTTTATAAGAAATATAATTCCCAGCAAAATATTTACATAAAGTCATATTGTACTTTGTGCTTCAAAATTAAAACATAATTACAAAAAATTACCCGTTTCCTTAAATACATTTTTTTTTTTTTTTTTTTTTTTTTTTTTTTTTTTATTAAGAATTATTGCGTCGCGTGTTGTTTTTATATAAAGAACAAAATAGAATAATTTATTATACCATTAAATTGTTAAACTGTGTATGACGCAATTCATTACGATGAGCTTAGAGTCATTTTTAATTTTAAGAAAATTCACATTATTTTATTCCTATTCATATACTTGTTCACATAACTTTCTTGCAAATGTGGCAGAGCAATTTCTTCAACTTTCTTATTTTCAATTTATAAATAGTTTGATAGCTACATTCAATATCTGCAAATTCGTACAATATTTGGCCCCAGTACCCTAATTTTTTTTCAACTATACAAATCCTCTTAAGGCACGTTCGCACCGAGAATATTTCTTATCATCCAATGGCCTTTTCCCTTTGATTTATTCACTACTTTTATTTTTTACTAATTAATTACAATTTTTTCTCTTAACGATTTCTGATATGTACCCCTAGTCCAGATTATGCATATTTTTTAAAAATATATTTAAATGACATAATACATTTTACATAAATTATTAAAAATGGCAATGTAGTTATTTGTACAAATAAATATTCTTTTTTATTAATCTATTGTCGGGAATATTTTAAACATAAACTCCTAGTTGTTATTTTTTTTTCTTTGAAATGAAAGTTTAATTTTACTTATTTATAAATTATAAAAAATAATCTTGTAACAAATATATGTATATGTGTGTGTATATATATATATATATATATATAATTTAATTGTTTGGTTAATAATATTAAAAAAAAAAAAAAAGAAAAAAGGTTTATTAACGATTTTAAAAAAATTTAATTTTTGATTATACAACTTATTAATTATATTCCATCAGCATTATGTCGAATTACTGTACTTTAAAGACACACAAGTAAAAATATCTGCACTATCTGGCTGACGGTAAATTTAAAATTTTGCGATAAAGTTTTTATTTGCCTTCGAGTCGACGCGAACGCACGTGCTAATTATTCAACATTCTTCATAAGAAAATTTTCTTCTTATATGTGTTTTTCTTTCTCTTTATCAATTTGGGCTTAATTATAAGCAAATGATATAAATTAAATATATTTTTATAATAATTACATTCTGCTACATCTTTCATACGGAAATTACATATTTACATAAAGAACAACGTGCTCAGTTTCGATTTTAACTAATTATATGTTTTAATACTGCAAGTTAGGTACTTTTGTTGATTATTAATTAAAGAAATACTACTTAGTCGAGAGTAACATAATTGTTTAATTCGCTAATTATTATTTATTTATTTATCTTTTTCATTTGCCGCTACTTAAATTACTAATTAAACCTATTGATAGGTAATTTGATTTTTTACCATTTCCAATTATAAACAAACATATATATATTCCAAGTATAATACATACGTACGCGCGCGCGGGCACCTATAATAATTTATTCTTTGACTAACGAACCGTATTATAAAAATAAAGAATTATTTATAATAAGTGTTTATGCAGGTAGTTTGTATAAGATTTTATTCGTTTATAATTAATAATGTAAAAATGAAATTGATGAATAAACGTTATTTATCAATTGCATACAAATAAATGAAATATTAAGCTGTTGAAATTATTTGAAAGTTTAAACAATTCGCATACGACGATTCTTAGTTTTGCTTGTATATAAAAATTATGTACTAAGTCTAAGAGACACGATAAGATATATCTTTTGTAACGTCAGCTGTATTTATCGATACTTCGTATCTTAAATAGGAAATAAAAGAAAAAAAAAAGAAGAAAAAAAAAAAGAAGAAGAAAAAATAAAATGTACTATACCTATATAAATGTACTACATAACTAAAGTTAAATAATTTAGATAAAAAGAAAAATTATTAACGAAAGGGCGTAATTTTCTCTTGAAAATCCAGCATACATCTTAAAAGATCTGCCACATTCGCAAGTAAATCGTCCTAAAGTAATTTCACTTTCTCCGGATTCTGCTTTTACCTCTTTCTCAAATCTATCACAATAATCGATGATACTGAAAGAAAAGAGTGAAGGTGAGAATGAAAGAGATAGATAGATACATTGGATAGGTGGATTGATAGATCGATTGGTAGATAGAGAGAAGAGATAATGATGGTAATATGTAGAGAAAGCCAGAAGTATGTTCCGATACGCGTAATAGTCGTATTCGAAAATTCGAAGATAATGGAAGCGACGGATGTTATTGTTTTGGTTGCTAGACTCTAGTGGACGTCAGACGCGCTTCGTCAACCAACAGCTTAGTTATTTAAGATAATGACGCGAAGAAGCTTCGATGGCTCTTCATATTCAGCAGCAGCAGCAGCATCATCTGCCAAAGTATCGAGATGCCAGGCCGCCAAGGACAAATAGGACGTGAGTCGTCAGGGAGGAGCCAGACGATCGCCACGTTGACGCTGACGACACATCGTCACATTGGGCTATAATCATATTAAATAATTTTATGTTTATCAGTTCGTGCTACCACTCCGTGCATATAACACAATTTACAAACTAATTTCAGAGCGCTTGTAAAGCAAAAACTGAACGTTCAAATTTGTTTTGATCAATAGTTTGGAGTGAGTTTGCTAATAGATAAAATAATTAGTTTTGGATTAATTAATTAGGAGTGGAGCGATCGTCAGTAAAATAAAAGAATTTAAATAACAAGTTGTACGTGGCAGTTATCCTGCATTTCATACAAACCGTTTGAGCAATTTTCATAAATACGCTGCCCTGCAATATTAATTTATAACCAGTTAGTTTGAGAATTGGATAAATAGGAATTTCCACGAGAAATAAAAGTATATAATAAAAGAAAAAAATAAAATAAAAGTACTGGCTGCGTAGTATGTGAGCTCTACGTTAAAAAAATTATAATTCCCAGTGGGACTGACCGTAGGCCGTGAGGTTCACTTGCCACTCGTGTTTGTGCAAGTGCGAAGAGGCCCTCGGACAGGAAGCCAAGTGCCCGCTGACGGTAAGTTCCCTACTCGAGGAGCTTCCCGAAGTCGTCGCTGCCGAGGCGCTGTACACGAGGCAGTAGCGTCCAGCCTCGGTGCTGGCCACCAGGTAGGCCGTGTCATTTTCCACCCAAGTGCCATGGCAGGAGTACTCTGGAAGAACGCAATTCAAGAAGTTTGTTAGTGGAGCGTCGTTGGAACGTATCGTTGGCATATTTTTGGAGTTGGTTTTGATTTAACGAAAACATCAGCGAGGAAAAAAAAAACATATATATATATATATGTATATATGTATAGAGCGCATGAAGCAAAATGTCTTATATCGGCTGAGTGTACGTAAAATGTGGCCCTCGCGTATCCTGGATAATCCGAGAGTGTGCGAGGATCCAGCGGGTAATTCGCGGGCAGATTTGCTCCGTATATCCTTATTATTCGGCGCACAAGGATGCAAGGCCTAGATTAGCCGACGTCATTATTGGAAAAGCGCTGGATAGGCAGTTCCGAGTCAGTAGGTAGGAGGCATCAGCGGTATCGCAAGCGCGAGGCGAGAGGAGCGACTCGTGAACGCAGTAGGCGCTAATACCTTGTGCAAACAAAATGGGCAAAAGCGGTTGGTACTCGTCTCAAGACTATAACTGGCTTTGCATCAGCTACGAGGTTTACTCTACGGAAGGGAATAATCTTTAATCAAAGCAACTGCATCGCTGCTCGCTCACTTATCTGCGTGTTCATCCATTTAGTTTATACATGGAGAAGTACTTTAAAGGAAGCAGGAGCTTCGAGCTCTCTTGGCAAGAGATGCATTATGGATTCTGGGCTTTCGTAATTGCACGTAGAGATGCGGTGTTAGATCGGGCGTTTACCGAATGTCTGCTTTGTAGGTCGTAGCACATTATTCTTAAATTAAGCACACAATGTTCGTGAAAAGTTAGTAAAGTAGTCAGTCGGTTGAAATCTCGTGAATACTTGGTATCCTTATATTTGATAATCCTAGGCTTGGCAATTAGTCATAGTTCACGAATTTCCCAATATTTTCTCGACCGCGTTTATTAATAATAAAGTGAAAGCTTAAATAAACTTTATCATCGCAATCATTCAATTATTTAATTTCGTACAAATTATGTGTTATGTATAAATTTTTTGTGCTCTTAAAAAAGTGCAAATAAATAAAAGAAAACTTACAACATTCAAATTTGAACAAATAGCATATTTTAATTTAAAGGTTTCTTTATGAATATCCTGTATTGCACAGGTAATATGCAAGTGTCTTGTCCCGAATGTATTTTCATGTAATATAACTTTACCAAAATGGTAATAGCGCTTTAAACAATACAAATTAATATTGTTATTATATTTATGTAAGCGAATATAATGAATTAGTATATGAGATACTTTTATAAGTTATTTAACGCTAATGTAACAAATATAAAAGTATGTAACTTTGAATATAATATTACAAAATTATTTAAATGAACTATTGAGTTTGAAATTAACGGGTAATTGAATTTTTATTTACTTTATGCGTCTCTACTCCAAACGTAATTTTGCATTTCGAATTACTATTGTTTAAACGATAGTAGACTGTAAAAATATTACTTAAATAATAATGACGTAAAAGTTTACCAACGCTTTTATAACTTTTCAAAGTAAAATTAATTTATCTTATTTTATTTACATTTTACATTTAATGAATGTAATTATTAATTGTGATATATTATGACAAATTTTTCGGTCACATACTCCACTTTTTAATTATCTAAGTTGAATTCTGTACGTAAGTAAATAAAGAGCGAAGATATTTTTCTATAATGCATTAACGCCAAAGTAAATCTACGAATCTCATGAAGTACAATATAAAAAAATATAACGACAGGAAAGGTTAACGATGGCAAAAAAAAAAAAAAAAAAAATACAGGTTTTACTTATAATTAAATGCATGCGAAAGACAGTAAGTTTGCGCTTAAAGATTCGCAATAGTTTATATCCTCTGAATTATCCATGAAAAAAGAGATGGTACCAGCTCACTTTCTCTCTCTCTCTCTCTTTCTCTGGGAATTTACGAAGAATCAATTAAACGTGCGACAGTGGATGCGATCGAAAGCTTGCGCGATCCTCGTGAGGTTCGTTGGGCTGGGAATGTCCATCAGTAAACCAAGCGGAAAGGTCGACGACGTCTCACTGAACCCCGCCCAGCCACAAACTAACTACTGCAGCTCTTCCTTCTCTCCTCCTACGTTGGGGAGAGCGTCGACGAGTGATGGAGAGAATAAAGGTTTACGCGCGCGTGTGCGCGAATAGCGGACCAACTAGAGGATGATAGAGCGAGCGAGAGAGTGAGAGAGTGAGAGAGAGAGAGAGAGAGAGATAGATTGAGAGAGTGAGAGAGTGAGAGAGTGAGAGCGAGAGAGAGAGAGAGAGAGAGAGAGAAAGAGAGAGTGAGTGAGTGAGAGGGGGGAGGGGAGTTCCAGGGAGGGAACTTGGCTCCCAAAGTCGGAAGGTAATCCGATAAGACGTTACGCCAAGACGTGCTCCAGACGTTCGACGTCTACCGAAAGGTGTCCCTCGACGTCGAGGCAAAACTGTCGAAGCCGTCTCGAGTCCCCGGAAGTCCGTTCTCTAGTCTCTCTACGGCTATATTTCTTGCTGGCCCCCTCGTTCCTATTGGATATCTCTTTATTGATACCTTAGTTTCCAATTGTATACGAAGAGAGTTTCCTTGTTGCGCGTAATTCATGCAATTACATACCCATTATTGAACATTACATTTGTTTTGAAATGAAATTATTGAAGTCGAGATTAATCTCCTTTTCCATTAAGTATAATATCTATTTTATGTACTTGGAATCTCGTAGTAGGATTGTTTTTTCTTCTGATGTACCATTGATGTCAGTAGGTTTAGGTACTTATAATTCAATGGCGTTACGTTGAATTATTTTGCCTCAGAGAGAAGTTAAAATTTAATAATAATAATTTAATAAATAATAGGTCTCTAATTGTAATTTTCATTCATATAATTTGTGACGATATGGTAAATGATAAACTGAACTGAAATTAAATTTTTCTTACATTATTCAGTTACATATAACGCATATAATTATTCAGAATTATTATTTATTAATTTCTTCTACTCATATTTCTTTTAATAGCTCCATTATCACCGATTGTAAAGTAATTTTTTCGCACATCAATTAAATATGTGTCATCTTCTTGGTAACATTACACTATCTTAATAATATAGCGAAAAATTGTTTGCTTCGCCAAGTATATATTCAGCTTAACTATTATTATGCGAAAGTATCTTTATTAATTTTCATAACTAAATTATGAATTATTTTGTAAATACATTGTTTACATTATAAGTTGTTAACATCGTATATAAAAGTTTTCAAATACATTAGTATGTAACGATTAATGCGCGGAAATGTATTATTATTATATTAGGAATATATGTATGTTAATAGTGGGAGGAAGGGACTTTTTATCTTTTGTGAAATTCGATTGAATAAATGAAAAAAATATTAATATTAATGGATAGTGGGTGATAGATTAATATTTTAATAGAAGCTCGGCTATTCGGTTGCTTAGCTACACTGTTGTTTCAATGACCATTTTAGATAAATTTTTTATTACATAAATTAGATGATTTTAGGATGAATTTAGGATGAATTTAGGATGAATGTGCAAATGTTGGGAAGACTTTGAATGGTAAGAAATGTTGAGAAATGCAACGAGTAAGCAGGCTTATATTTCGAGTAAATTGGCTTTTCAATCTTCAAGTTTGAAAAATGTACTCACTAAAGAGGGCCTTGTCAGTGCAGTCCGTAGAAAATTCCATAAGATCGGGTTCTGTGCAGCCGATGTTGAGACCGTCGATACTGGCTTGATGACAGCGGACCGGAAGTGGGGTTGTCACCAGCTTTGCCGCTCTGACCTCCGCCACGTTCTCCCCGTAATTCATGCGACCGCGTTCGTTACCAACTCTCGGCGACCAGGAGTCACCGTAATCGCTGCCTGGAGGTTTCGTAACGAAGACAACATCGTAGCGGCCAAGGTACGGGCACTGGCGTGTTATAGGCTCCATCGCTATTAGATTACATATTAGATTGTGAATAAAATGAGGGAGAAAAATGAAAAAACAAATAAAAGAAAATATACCTATTGGCAGGGCTAAACTAACTCTTTTTAATTCGATAATTTTGAATTCTCACGAAAATGATGATTTAATGGATGTTCAAAGAGGATGTAACCATTCGCGTTAGAAATGTAAGAAACTTCTGTAATTTGTGCTACATAACTATGCCATTATAATATTAAAATTGTCATTTTATAACTCATGTATAGCACTATAATGTACAGGTTTGTTTATTAAAACTAAATTATCTTGCTTTTTTTTTTTTTTTTTTTTTAACCTAAATGCAGTTAATCGGAATACTAAACATGAAGTTTATATATTTTAAGTCATATTATAAGCCTGGATAAGTATATTTCAAATCGATGCCCTAATAATTAAATATTCATACATTAAAAGTAGAAGATGAACAAAAGTCATTAATTTAAACTATATAAATAGATAATAGAATACTATAAAATTTAATGATACACGAATATGAATTGCAAAACTTTTCTAATGATCAGCAAAGAAATGTGATACCGAGAATATAACTCGTTAATTTCTACTTTTTAATAATTTCAGTATTCGTAATATATAATGATAATAATAATAATAATAATAATAATAATAATAATAATAATAAAATTTATAATATATTTTCTATATATTTTTTTTTTCAAATAGAAAGACTTAAATTTTCAAAATATTTTTTCGGCTATAATTCTAATATCATATTATGGGAATTTCTTTAGTGGCTATGACATAAACTTTTTTTTTTTTTTTTTTTTTTCATTAAAAAACTAAAGTTTTTTCCGTGTACATTTGAAATTTGTCTGCATATTATAAAAGAATTGTTATTAAACCAAAGATAGGAAAAAAAACGGCAACTCTCGTACTTTGTATAATTTTTAATATATTTAAAAATATATAATTTGACGTTTCGTTAATTTAATGAAAAAAGGGATCCAGACAATTGCAGGTTTTTTTTTTTTTTTTTTTACCGTCCTATACAATAATTGAAATATATTAATATTTATTTTCATTCATGACATTTAGTCAAATCTTCCGCTTACTCTCAAGAAAAAAAAGATTTAAAAATTGCTATTTCATTAAATCCAATATTTCTAGATATAAAAATCTACTTGACGAAGATGTTCGGTATTATAGGCATGATTTTTGATTAGAAAACATTATAAAAGTACAATTATTATATGAACTATTAATAAGTTACAGGAGAACGATACTTAGAGTTGGACAAATATTTTAAGAAATATAGTGCTCGTATTAAATATTTTATTAGAAATTATCGAGTTCAGCAAGTTTGTCACTCAAAGCTCTACATATTTGTAATTAAAATTAAAGTATTAAAAGACCTATTAAAGCCCTGAATTTTACGATTAAATTTTGCAATAATAGAATGTAGAAAAAAAGAGCTAATTAGTAGTTAGTAGCTGAAAGAGGGGAAGACGATTTGCGTCGATGAAAATTGTTCTATAAACAACGTTTTGTATATTTGGCGAGTTAAAGAGATTTTTCGCCAAACCACTCGGCAATAAGCTCTTACATTTTTGGCACTTTCGACAATGCAAAAATTGAAATTCTAGTTGTTAGAGAAGACAAGAAGATATGAGAATACTGTGTGGGCTGGAGATAGTCCGAATAGTAAATCGATTCACCGTTTTTCCGAGCGCCGGAGATGGCGCGACATATGAAAAGAGACAAGCTGTCGTCACGTCAGTCTTATGCATTCCAGTTATCACATTCGCTAGTGACAGCAGTAGCTTTTATAGGAATACCTTCTCGCAAATCCCGGTCGAACGATCATCATAAATTTCGGATGCATACATTCGCAAATCTGCCACATGAGCTCGCGTACTTTTACGCGTAAGGAAAAAAATGTGTGAGTACATTAGGTGTTCTCACATTGGTTTCAACAAGCTCCCCTTACGAATTCTAATAAACATCAAAGATATTAGAAATTAATGTTTTTGTATTGGTTTTACGTCTATTCTTTCTCTTTTGCCATTTCATCATCTTACTTTACTTAGTTCACTGTTTTCGCCTGATTACTTTGTTAATGTACTTATTATAACTAAAACAATTGATCATTCGTTAATGATGTATAACGGAAAAAAGCTTTGATCGCTTTATTAAGTAAATTTGAGTAATAACTAATTGTTAAAAGAGTTTAAAATGCACGATTTACAATCGAAGGGTGAGAAATTTAATAATTATTTAAAAAAATATATACATGTGTACTAATTTCAGCATGAATGACATTGTTTAATAACTATTGTATTTTAAAAGTTTTCGAAAAATGAGCAATAATATATTTTTGGCTTTTAAGAGCTTTTGAATTTTAAATAATCATGTTTAATATATATATAATTCGTCGATAGAATTAATTGTGTCGATGAATTAACATTAAATGACGTACAATACATTCTCGGCGTGCTGCATAAAACATGCTATTAATTATAATTATATCGTTGCATAAAATATCGAAGTTATCAGCTCGACAACTTGTTTCGTTTGTCCTTCTCGTGTTCTTATTTCTTTTATAAAATGAACAGAAAAAAAAAGTAATAAGGCACGCGGATATCGTGTGCGAACCAACGACTTGTATATATCGCGGAGACATGTAAAATTTATCGGCGATATTTTTCTTTTTACGCTCGTTGCCTATACTCGTCTCCGGACTCTTATCCAGGAAAGCGAGGAGGTTTATACGCGCCTACACCGACGTTCACGGTGGCGTATCGTGTCGAACGCTCATTATGGGAGTTGGGACGATACGATGGTGTGGTGTGGCCCTTCGGAAATTCTTAGTGGGAGTTAAAAAAAAAAAATACCTGACTCGGTTGAATTAATTTTTGCGATAATCGTAATAAAATACAAGAGTTTCCAAAAATGTAGATGTAAATGATAGATTTACGTCATATCGTATTCATTGATTCGTAGATGAAATTAGTCCGTAAGTAACATTCAACCAACTGCATATCAACAAAATATCGTTCTAATCGTAGACTATTATTTCAGATGATGAATTTAGCAGCGCTAATAAATGTTGATAAAAACTGAATAAATTAAATTAAATTTGTGAGCTCTCAAAAACTCTCAAACTTCACTCTCCTTGAAAATTTTTTGTTTTTTTTTCCAAGCATTACGTCCGATTCTTATCATCTAAATAACCGAAATTTTCTCAATTTAGAGCGAGCCTATTTCTGGAATTCGTTGACTTAGACGAGAATTTTGTTTAACGTGTAAAAGAAGCTATATATATATATATATATATATATATATATATATATGCAATATTTCTTTTGACATTTTGCCGTTAATCGCAAGAATGTTAAGGAGCTAAGGAAATACAAGTGAAAGAGGCAGAGAATAAAGGAAATAGGTACTTACAAGACCGGAATATACTTGATAATTACATCGGCACGCGAATCACGTGTACGGAAAGGTAGTATACGTTATTGAATATAGTATTAGTACACTAAAGTAACTATTCTTGGATATGGATATCATTTGAAAATGTGCATACAAAGCATTTAATTCGATTAAAATTCACTCGTTTTTGCGCACTTTGTATCAATTTTACGCCACTTTCTTTTTTTTTTTGTATCGCGATAAGTCGTGTGGCGCATGTTCGTTATGCGTTTCATTTTTTCATTCGCGAAGTAATTACGCGCATTGCATGATCCTTGCATTAAAAGTTCCTTCACGTACAATTTAATTGCAAATTAAATATAAAAAATGAAAATTAATTTTAATTTAAATTATTTTTATAATACGTATATATAAATTGTTTATTTAAGAAAACTTGCAAATAAGTATTAAATAGTGCAAAGGAATTTTTTATATTTTATTTCATAAAACAGAAATCTCTTTTAAATTTATTAGATGTTAAACTTAACATATAGATTTATGAATTTGCTATATGACTCAGAATATATATGAAAAAAAAAAAAAATATATCTCTTATAGCGAACGGAGCCACTTAATAATCTGACATTATCAGAACATGTTTAAATAAGAAATTTTTAATTTGTCATCCAACTGCCATAAATATCCCATAAAATGTGAAAAGTACTTTCAAATGAAAATATATTTTCTGCAGCCGATTTATCCAATTTTAGAGGATACAGTGATGTTATTCCTTACCCAGACACTCATCTTCACATTCATATACGGTATATCTAATTGTCTATATACGACAAAATTTTTTAAAACTTATTACTCGCCAATTTACTATTATACATATTGACATAAAAATTATCATCTAATGTACTATGCATTATATAGTGCACACATTACATCATAATATCGAATTAACAATATCGATGAATTTAGGTTTAAAAATGTACACGACTGCTTTAAGAGATTAAAAAAAAAAAAAAAAAAAAAAAAAAAAAAAAAAAACTGAACCAACTATCGTTACAACCGACTGACTAATCGTCCACTGTTTTCGTTAATATTTACAAACAGGTAAGAACGCCCAACCCGTGCAGCCATTGAGTTATGTATCACTTTTTAGGGTCGCGACACTTAGTAACTTTTTACGAGCGCGTGCGCGTACTACGGAAGACGAGACAGATGCTACAACTCTTGCAGATTCTTTGTGCAGTTTGATATAGTGAGGAGAGAGACCTGATTTGCGATAACGCGACTTACACAGCAAACGCGCGATTCCTCTGCACGTATACCTGCATTTTCCATTTTACGACATATACGTGATATCCTCCACCTTTTCTTATAAAATCGAGTCTGTAATACTTTTTCCAGATTACGATTTTTCTTGCATTTTACAACATTTTCCGAGTAAGGTAACAAACGACCGTTCATTTTATACAATTTTTTTTATCAATAAATCAAATATTATCAAAATGCCGACCACTGAATTTTTTTTAACGCATGTTGAGTTTCTTTCAATGCTATATAATTACATGTCAAATTACTTTCTCTTTTTTCTTTTTTTTTTCTTTTTTCATATAGCTGGGATTATGGCTTATAAAATATGTCGCGTTTTAATACTTTAAACGCAGTTTTATAAATATATCATAAATAGTAATTGAATTCAACATAATAGAGTTATTGTGATTAATAAATGCTTTTGAAATTTCTTATGATACCATATTCGTAAGTTTAATGATAAGTAAAAATTACCTAGGGTGTCTTTCATTTATACCAATCAACAAGGGCAAATACTATAATTTATCATTTCATTAATACAGAAGAATAAAAGTAGCTTTGGTAGACGTCTCTGGAAAGATTTCTCAGATGATTGACCAAAAAGTAGAGAAATCGATATTACTGCTGATTCAGCTTCGAGATGTATGCTTTATATATATATATATATATATATATATATATATATATATATATATATATATTGTATAGAGAAAATTCCTTCTACAATATAGATTGTAACAAAATAAATTATAATATTAAAAAGTAACCAAGTTTTGGAGTATAATTTGATTTATATTATAATATTTTGTTTTATTAGACTATAAATGAGCGGCACATTCATTTTATCTAAGAATAATCAGTGGAAATAATGTTTTAAAGATGAGAGTATGGAATATCGATTTCATGGTTCAATATATAAAAATGAAACTAATTTAACCATTCCTTTAAAATATTTCAAATATTAAGATATAATGCATTTAAGTGTTTTTATTATTATAATAAATAATTTTCATTAAATTAACTATGACGCAAGAAAAATATACACACATATTATAGACTCTATTATTATTGAAATTGTTTATAGTTATATCACGACGTTTTCTCATATTCCCGTAAAATTATTTTATATTTTTTTACTTAAAAAATAGTTTATATTCTTAATTATATAATATTTCACAAATTTAATTTTTGCAATAAAATTTTGGCTCTTTACCTCTGATATTCAATAATTTAGTCATTAGAACTTAGGAAATTCCAACTAATAATATTTTTATCTATTAACTATTAAAATCATAAATGAATAAGAGAAGAAATATTTTTAATAAGGATTACAGATATAAATTGTTTTTTTTTTTTTTTTTTCTGTTACTACGTATGACACTCAGTCTGGTTAATGAATAAATTTTTTTTTACAAAGAATCTAAATTTTTACCATTTTTCATACAGATATATTTTATTTTAGAAATGCTTTTTTCCTGGCAATTAATAAATATATTATGGCTATGTACATTCGATCGTTTAGTATATGAAAAATATGTGAGACAGTTATCACACTTTGGCATTATAAGGCAAAACTTGATGAGCTTTTATTTATTAACATGATATAACAATGCAGTTAATGTATAATGAATAGAACAATATACTAAAAACTATATAACATTTAAATGTATGTAGCAACACAAGTATATTACGTAATTTATATGTTACTCTAAAATAAGTATAATATTCTATTCATTTTAACCAACAACAATTAAGAATATTTTTTCTACACATTGTCAACAAGTCTTGATTTTGGACACGAGAGTATTATTATTTTATTATTTTTGTTTTAATCGTACATTGAAAACAGAATACACAATTATTCACATCCATTAATACTCGAATATATCGTTACTTTTATTACAATGTCATCAATAATCACATTTAAATTTTAATATTAAACTTTTCATTGATAAATATTAATACATAAAATTCATAGATTTAACTAGTTTGTACATTTTAATATTATTCCTATATTATCGGAGAAATATTAAATTCCTGTTAATTAAGCGTACATAAAATTTTGTAATTCGAGACTACTTTCACGAGTTATCCATTCGATTGTATAATAAAGTTCTACCAAGAATTACTATCTATTTTAAGTTTACGTTATATTTGCATAATATTAAAAGTTCAGCTTAAGTAGATAATGAAATATTAAATATATTTGTAAGTTGTATGAAAGCTTAACAAATAAAAATCCAAATTTCATCTCATTCTATCAAATATTTCTAGTATACATATATATATATATATATATATATATAATAATATATTATTGCAATTCGGCAAAAAGTAAATAATGTTAATACGAACTTACTAATAAATGTTGTATACGGCGCTGTCTTAGAATTAAAAATACTAGACATGCATGCATCATCCTCTTGATGAGTCCAATTTAGCGACTGCTGCATTTCAATAACGTGGTCGTCCCTTTTGTGAAATACCATACAGACGAAACCATTTGTGCTATAAAGAAGATTATTTAAAAGCATTTAGCACATAGGTTTTATTTCTGTTAGATACTAATTTATTAATTAATATTATTATAAAAAAATAAAAAATAAAAAAAAAAAAAAAAAAAAAAATTTTTGGATTTTTTACATTCTATCTAAAATATATGTATTCAATAGGATTAAGTTGTCATGCGTGCATTTCTCTAGGAATAAGGGAAAAAAGGTTATTAAAAGTTAAATCTGCACATGTAAGTTATAAGTTATTAAACAAATAGGTTGAAATTATTTTACATAAATTCTTATGTTAATAATATAATTTTATATCTAATATATATTTGTTAATGATTCATCAATACACATTACCGATGAATCCAAATAAAAATTTCTTATAAATCTAAAAAATATTTACATAATGACATATGAGCCGGAACAAGTATATAAATATTTGTGTGATTCGTACGAATATATTTTGCGAATAAATCAATGAAATCAATATACAGTTTGATTTAAGAATTTCGTTTGAAATTCTTGGTAGGTACTCTTTTCCAACATTGTAAACAAATTTTCTCGACTATCTATGCGTATATGCTTTCAAAACACGAATGAAATCTTGCGGGAGAAAAATTATGAAAAAATCGTTGCCTTATCATAGACTATGGCACATACAAAAATACAAATGTAAAATAAGTGAAAACAATGCTCTTTGAAATTTGGTAAATGTACGCACGCTTACAGACAAAGAAGTTGGAAAGCTTTAAAGCAAACTATAAAAAAGGGGGGAAAAAAAGCATAGAAAGAAGAATACCCAAGGAGAGAAAAGATGTAGAAAGAGAAAGCAATCCCACACTAGAGGGAAAGTAAGAAAGCTCGCTTTAAATCTCTGGTTGCCACTAGGGAATTAAGATTTTATTTTATCATGACGATTCTGGGACGTTGCTCGCCTTGTGCCTAATACAATTCTTTTACGACGCCTCACCTTACGCGAATCTAGAAATGCGAAAGTTTTACATTCTTACGTGGAAAGATATTGCTCTTCCATCCCATGCTACGCTCACAGAAAATACTCGTCGTTTTCTTCGCTATTTCTTTTTATCTATATTGAAATTGCTTACAATCTATTAGTTGAAAGTCTATGTTGCTTTACACTCAGATTATATGATACTAATTCTCTATCAGTATCTAATTTTTTTTTTTTATTTTTTATTTTTATTATTTTTTTTTTTTATAACGCAAGATCCATTTGTATGTATTATAAAGTAATATTTGAGCATCTCATTGTATCCTCGACTTTACAAATTATTAACAAGAATTAAATACAATTAATTTCTTGCTAACCGATTAAAAAATTATATCTATTATTTTCATATTTATGACCTATGGAGCAATAATTTGTACATATTTATTTTCTTCCGAGAAAATGGAATTGTTACATATCTAATCCGAAACAACGGCTATAATAATAAAATACTACGTTTATTACCTTTCTTTTAGTAAACAGCTTGTTCTTATATTTCTTTTAAAAATAATAAAGTATAATAAAAGGTACTTAACAATTCCATTTAAGAATATAAAAATGCATACTTATAAGGTATTTTCATATAAGCCTTTGACAATCAAACAACATATTTCTGCTATAATAAATTGTTGAAAAAAAAAATATACATTTATCAAAGGAAGGGTTTATCACTTTTCAAACTTTAGTCATGAGCTACAGCGTTCGAGGAAATGTAGTTCTACGAAAATGGATGATTATTTGAGCGATTTTTGTTTTTTATTCTCTAAAAATATCGATTATTTTTCATTTACATTTGAAAATGCTAAATGCATGATAAACTAGTCTTTTTCATAAACACGCACGCGCACACACACACACACACAACACAACACAACACACCCACCCACCCACGCACACTTATTTATCGTACGGATATTTATATAATTATAACATCTCTTGTGATTATAATTTCGATTCGCTTAGTATACTATTATATTCATATATAATAATTTCTTTAATTGTTAAATGTATAAACGAAGCATTTACTACTCGATACATTTACGTTATTTCATATTCCCAATTCATTTCAAATATTCTATGACAATTTAATTATTATCCAAACAAAAATCATCTTTTACTAAAATAAGAATAAATATTAAAAGCTAATTGGAAATCTAATTAAAAAACTAGTAGACTACGTATAAAATATATTTCTAGAATGCTCATTTGAATAAAATGTGTATGTTTCAATATGTGCCGTACGTCTACGAATATATTAGATTGATATAGATTAATTATGCAAAAGGTTCTATTTAAGGCAAATAGACATTAACGATATCTAACACAACTTTCCATATTAATGAGAATTCATATTTAACGATTGCATTTTAAAGTCACTTTATTATAAATTTATCTATCCAACATAATAAGATGTATTTACGCATTACAATTCATTAGTATATAATTGTTTATTATCTACTGAAATCCAAGTTATGAATTATTTTCTTATATTTTAGCATTTAATATTATTAATGCTATGACCTTATTTCGATTATCATTCAATTTTTACATTAAATTAATTTTTCCGCGTGCTTACAAAGAGAAGGAATTTTATAATTTATGTATTATTTATATAAATTAATTAAAGGAATTAAAAAAAAAAAAAAAAAAAAAAAAAAAAAAAAAAAAAATCTACAGTTTTATATCCAAATAGTTACAATGAATGTAAATAAACATTATTGAAAAGTTAAAAAGTAAAAATTGTACATTTTCATTCAAATGTATTGGATTTTGGATGGATTGGACAATGATGCTCTGAAACAATTAGATATTTGAATTTTGTATCTAAACGCGCGAAATAAACATATGAATTTTTTACTCTTCACGTGCTAAAAGAATATAAAAGGGTAAAGAGGTTGAAAAATGAAAAGAAAAGAGAACGTTCCTAGTCTAAAGTTGTTCAAAAACTTTGTTCCCGCTAAACGCGTCGAATGAACTTTATATAACTGTAGTCGAAAATGGAGTAAAATTCAAGTTGACTTTAAAAACGTAAAAACAATTTAGTCATTAAACGTTGACAATATTTTGTGAAATGAATTCACATTGATATGTACTATATTATCGAAAAGGATGAGAGAAAAAGATATTCGGTGTAACAATTTGTTAGAATGAGCTCTTCTTGAATATTTATTAAATAGTTGGTTATTTCATATTCAATATAGAGCCAGCGATTCTCTAATATTTTTCATTTTAAAATCATCGTACTTCAAATTAATTAAATAGTAAATAATTCAAGTAGTTTCTCTCTGGCGATAATTAAAATAAAAACCCAATTACTCTGAAGAACTCTAACGTCGTCGTAAACTGTTGAACGACAACTATAACGAGCAAAATTATTAAAATTATTTCAACCATTTTCTCCCCCTGTCTACTTCTTTTTATCTCTTATACTCCCTTTCTCGGCTAAAATGTTAAATGAGTTTGCTCACGCAAGGGGGTCTTAGCACGAATCGGTTGCAATCATCAGTATTAAATTTAGTTTAAATCACATTCTGCACACGGAAGCTGCATGTAATGAACTCATTATGTTATCTTAGTTTACTATTTTTCATTTACAGCTATAATAGATTTTTTAATAATATTTTTTTTAAGTCAATTGAGCTTAGCAAATAGAAATGCTATTGAAGCCAATTTCACGAATATATAATACATTATTTTTGAAAAATAATTATGTTTTACTATTTATAAAAATAATGCCAGACATTGATACGATAAAAGATTTATCGAGTAAGTTTCGAAAAGTTTGGTAAAATATAATTCTTACCATAAGTATTACTTATTTCTTTTTATTTCTTCAATTTGTTTTACATTCATACAGCTAATATAATCTAACAAAAGCTTTTAAACAATCTTTCTGATAAATCTAGCTTGAATGATCCGAATAGCTTGGAATTTGTGATAATACTAATGAAGAAATATTTATAGAATATTGATCTGAATAGAAAAATATTATAATTACACTATTTATATTATAATTTTTTTAATATACTCCTTTAGGATTTATTTCTTCAACTACGTACAATAGATCGCAAAAATATAAGCTTTTTTTTTTATAATTTTTGTAATATAAACGACAAAAAAACATTAATAAAAGGCTACGTAATTCATTAAAAATGTTTTTTTTTTCTTTCAGTTGATATTTTATTCTACTTTCCCATTATATCCAAAACTTGATTTTTTCAGTTTTAATATTTTAAAGAAAGGGCTTGCATAATTGGATATAAACTTTATTCGGATTATAGAAATTCTATATTTTTTAATTACAAAGTTTTCTAATTGAAAAATTTTTAATAAGAATTAAAAAGAGCACTTATGACTATTTTTCTTGATGCAAAATATTGGTAGAATAGAAAATAAATAAACAATTTGGAAAAATGGCTTTTAAAACATGACTCTTTGGATTGGTGTAGTAGTAAATAAAAGAATATAGCATATGAATATAAAAATTGAGTATTCGCAAATTATAAGAAGATTAAGTGTTTTGAATGTGATTATCAAACCGAATGCGCATAAATTATTTCAGTTGCCAAAATATGATAATCGAGAGTAGCATAAAATTATGACAACGTCATTGAATCTAAATAAATTAACTTCATTGTGTGCGTAAATACAGCCATGATAGTATTAGCTTTTTTAGAAGAGTGAAGTATTTTTTTATTTTTCAACATATAGAAGAAGATTTGTGTTCAAATAAAATTGCTACATAACCTACAAAATGTAATTTTATTGTAAATATTCAATGAAAGAATAATAAATTTATAATAATTCAAACAAAGTCAATAAAATTGTTTATATATATATATATATATATAATATTGTAAGTTATATTGACGTTCCTTGATGAAATTGTAAATGTGACTTATAAAAACCGTTTTTAAATTTTTTTCGCAAAACGTTCTTCATTATTAAGTGCATGGAAAGAATGATTTTTAAGATAACTCTTATTCTCATTCTTATTCTTATTCTTCATTATTAAGTGCATGGAAAGAATGATTTTTAAGATAACAATATGTTCTTAATGTATCCAAGAAATAAATATCAATTCAATTACAAATAATTTCTCGTCGCTTTATATTTAAGGAATAGTAAAAAGACTAGTATTACTTTTTTTTTTTTTTTTTTTTTTTTTTTTTTTTTTGGTGTGTTTTGTCCTTTAGTGGAAGTCTTGAAATAAATGTTAAAATTCAGAAGCTCAAAATTGAAATAATGAAATACATAAATAATTTCAGAAATTTAGTGTAGCAATGTCTTAAATATAATTAATGCTATGCAAATCAGAAATATTCGTACCGAACATATTTGAATAGAATTCACTCTTGGAATATTTGTGGAAAAATTGCGTCTTAATAAATAAGAAGAATATTCAACAGTAAATTTTTTAATAATTTTGATAGATTTAATTGCTATATGTTGTTGTTATTTTTAGAGATCTAGGATTACAAATTAATTAATTTGATTTATATTATATTTGTTCGGGGCATTGAAGGAAATCAGTGTTTCGTATTACGAAGAAGTTTTATTACGTTCTTTATCGTTATAACGGCCACAAGAAATATTTGAATATAAACAAGATAAATTTAAATATAAAATTTTGATACTTAACGGAAAACTCGCTTTTAGGGATTATATTGAATGGTTAATCAAGCCGTATGAATTATAGGCGAAATCATTTTCATGATAAAACATTTGTATAAACCATCGGCGAAATTTGTTTTTAATGAAAATGCTATAAACTAAAATGTTTTATATTTAAAAATTTTTGAAAATTCAAATAGAAAATTAATTTTTTATATATTTAATAAACTAAACGGCAATAAGTATTAAAGTAATCAAATAAATATCTCATATTTTCAAACAATTTTTTATAAAAATAAATTTTAATCCATCTATTATGTAGATTCTTAATATAATGACCCATTTTTTTCGTCATTCTAAAATAGTCAAAATGGAAAAAATTAATTCATACTTAAATGTAAAAGTTAGCGCTGCAATACAATTAACATGAAAATGTAAATTTTTTTTTCAATATTTTACCATATTATTTACATATTTTTTCTCGGTTACTATTATAGATAAATAATATTCGAAAATGTAAATAGTGTTTATTGGAAATTAGTCTAATTTTGTAGATATATTAATAGAAGCATTTTAATCCTATAAACAATAAATCTATTCAATCAAACTTTATAATTAGTCTTTAATTACTGAAATTAAATATTTATTTCATGCTTGTTACTTCTATTGAAGAGCCTAAGTTGTTGGTCTTTCTGTACTTTGTATCCACCTCTTAGAAAAGTTTCTTAATTCTTGTTCGTTTTAGATAATAACTATCTATACTTCTTGGAAGCTCCATCCCCTCACCACCACCCCCTCTCTCTCCCTCTCTCTCCCTCTCTTTATTTATCTCGAAATGTTTCTATTTTTCTTTCACCTTCTGTGCTTTTGCTTTAATCTCTATCCTTCTATGATCTATCCTGAATGAAAATAAATTCAATTTTCGGCTGACTAGCGTTAATCATTCTACTTTAAAACACTTGTGAAAAGTTTTATCTAGTATGGTAAAATCTCTATAAAGGCGATTAAATGTATATTATGTGTTTTTAAACTTTTACAGTTGTTACATAAAAAAGAAAGAAAAATATTTTATATATTGGAATACAAGTATAAATTTTATTAAATTGTCTTCTTTTTTCTTCTCGTTTTATCAATAAATTCCTCTTTTAACATATAAATTTATCTTCTGACCTTTGTTTTATAAGAAGTTAAGAATTTATTTTTTATCATTTTATAGATGATTAAACAATTATATGGAATACGAGTTATTCCGTTAAAGAATTCATTTTAAATCGCGAGACGGATTAGTGTATAAAAATTTTCGAGATTTTATAAGAAAATATTTAATGTTGTATGATAATAATAATAGATATTAATTAATTATGTATTCCGTTATATTATTGGCTCTTCCAATTTTATTGTACACCCTCAAGTGAACTTGAAGCATAATCATTGACGGTTTTTTTGTTTGTTTGAATTTTTATTTGCAATCGGGCCTCTAGCAAAAGAGCGTAATAAAAAGAAATTATCCAATGTGCAAATAATTTAAGATCACGATGAATTAAAAAAATGAAAAAGTTTAATGATTCTATGGGATCGGAAACAGCTACTGCTTAAAGGATATAAAACTTTCGCACACGCAATCCGTTAAATAACAAATGATTTGTGCATTCGTTGAAAACAAAAGCAGCTAGTATCCCGCAACAAAGGCGGGAGGTTCGCAATAAGCTTGGAGCCACAAATAAAGCTCAAAACAGAAAATTTTAAAATCCGTCAGTGCGGCCACGCAGAAAGAATGAAAATCCTCCCCTCCACCATCCACTATTAAACCTATAAAGGGATAAACCTCTTTCCTAGCACAAGCTCAATTCATCGAATTGTCAGAGCGGAAAAAATGAATAGAAACAAAGCAAAAAGAAACAATACAATGCAAAAAATGGGTGTAACGCGAAAGTTAAGCTTGCGCGTGGAAAAATTTGAACTGTGTGCTCTTTATTCTGTTGGTGAACGCGCTTTACAGCTCGGATTATCTAGCCTAGACATTAAAACCTTGCTTTGATGACGCCATCGTACACACGTCGTAGAAATATGTGATGAAACACGGAAAATGAGACAAAGCTTATCGCATATCTGAACAATATCAAAAATAAGGGAAACGCAAATATATATAACGTGTGTATATGTTATTATGAATATGATAAATCCACTCCCGCACACACACACACACACACATATATATATATATATATATATATATATATATATTTTTTTTTTATCTGATTAACAAAGAATGTATAAATTGATTGTATCCCAGTGGTAATTGTATTGTAAGTTGTTACGTGATTATGAAACGTGATTACGAATACATTGGAGTTTATAAAGATTATAGTTTAAGATGCCTACTGGTTATCATTAAATTCACGTTCGATTAATTTTTTAAATATAATAATAAAGCAAATTAATTAATAAAGAAAATTAATTTTTAAATAAAAGGTATAGATTTTTATTGTCATCATGTTTTATTGTCTATGCATATAATTTGTAAAATTTTACAATAATATCCAACATAATTAATTACAGGAGGTTTGCGAGTAAAGAATATTTTTATGTGTTTAAAACAAAAGTTGTAATTCTAAGTGAGTCAACGTAAACAAAATTATTAAAAAAATTAATTCACTAAATTATTAAAAATTTGACATTTTAATTATGCACGGAATAGGCGTTTTTTTTTTTTTTTTTTGTATATTTTACATTTTCAACGATTAGAGATAAAGAGAAAAATATGAAGGAAAAGAAAAGGAAAGTCTAAAGCAGTGGAAAAAAGAGATAAATTGGCGTCTTTTTCGCTTTTACGGGAATTTATTCGCGCTTGCGGTGTGAAAACATACTCACACGCATTATATCGTAATTGCATTCCCCCTATAAAAAAAAATAAAAAAGTTCACTGACGGTTCGCACGTTGTACTATAGCACTTTTGACTATACTTTTCCTAGTTTTTGTTTTGTTTTAAGACTGTGGTTGCAGTGACACGTAAATCAGGATTTGCAAAATGAGTGGACACGCGCCTCTTGTTCCGTTGTCCCCTTTGTACGTAAATCAGTGTTAACGGTGAAAGAAATGTTTTTCCATTTGAATTTTTATATTTTTTAACTAAAACCCTCTCTTTTATATAATTATACGAATATTGTATTTGTATTTTGAATATTTTTTCGAAAGAAATCATGAAAATTAGAGTTCGTAACTTGCTGAATTATTGTATCGATGAATTTTATACATACATTTTTCAGTAAAAAATATTTACAATATTTTACATTTGTATAGTAATAAAAATATATTTTCAGTGCGTCCTAGATTTGAGGAAACAAAAGGAAATGGTAGATTTAGTTTTAATTGAGCCGATAATTGAGCCAATGCATCAATGCAAAATAATGATTAGAAATAACTTTGAATCGCACTCGGCATTATTAGGGAAAAGAGCGCAATAACTTTTTTTTTTTTTTTTGGTTTTCATTTTAAAATTTAATATTGATATGTTGTCTGATATTAACTGTAGGTTTATTTTTGTTTGTAAGCGAGCTGCAGCTTAAATAAAATAAAAACGAAAAAAGAAAGAAAAAGATTTTAATATAAATAGAAATACAAAACTACAGGACTAACGTAAAGTATTGAGAATTTTTATATAAATTCATAAAAAAATGTCATTAAATCGAAAGTTTTCGCATCACATGGGCTTGAATAAGTCACGCAAGCAATCGGATTTATATAGTCGATGTGTATGGAATAGGATAGTTGAATAAGGGCGAATAAGAGAAAGAAAGAAGATAAGTAGCATATAATCTTACCAGCTTCTAGTGGCTCGAGCGATGATTTGGAATCTATCGTTTGGATCAAACTGAGCCTTGAATTCTGCGTGCTTGGATCTCAGGAGACGGTGACATGTAAACTGCGTTTCGTGCTGATCCAAAATAGTGACATTGTTTACCGAGGCTAGTAAACGAGTCGAGGCGGTGAGGTCCAAAGCCACCCAAGAGTATGGTTTAACTAACCACGTTGGGAACAAACAACGCGATGATTCCGACTCTGTAAGTACATTTACACATAAGATCAATGATACATGAGTTTTTGGCTTACAAGCCAGATAAATCCGCAATTACGTTGGGCACGATTCCTAAGTTACCACCTAACGTGTTATGAATGACAATAAGCTTTTCGGAGGATTCGAGGGCTTGCATTGGAAAAAGCAAAATAAACAGGAAATGAAAGCGAATACGTTTACGATGGCTAATTTTCATTAAAAGTCAAGCTTATCCATTAATTTTTACAGCATCTCAACGAAACATTAATGCACGAATGAGCATTAACATTGAAACGTAATATTTCCGTTGAGTATGTTTTGGTTGAAATTTTAGCATAAAATGAATTTATAATAAACAAAACATTCGTATGTTTTACATGTTATTAGTCACACAGTTTACACAGAGTTTCGACAATTTCACACCGACATTCCATTTTCTCTATTGTACATTCCGCCTTTTTTTCTCTCGGGTTACTTCCCATTTTAATGCCCACGTCCATCCCCAATCTCTCATTTCTTTATTTCTCATTTGTCAATCTTCCCGCGCTATCTCTTTTGCTCGCTCGTCCCTGTTTCGTCTCGTCGAATCAAGCAGCCGGAACGAATTATCAGACGATCCGTCGATCCTGCTCCATTAATCGCTTATCGCCGAGCGTGGATTTCCTCGCACTCCCGCACGTATAATGAAATTCAACCCACTCTCCCACCATCCCTTCATTCCTCCCCCTCCCCCTCGCCAACCACGGTATATCCACTCCATCACCATCTCCATCTCCATCTCTCTCTCTCTCTCTCTCTCTCTCTCTCTCTCTGTCTCATTCGATGCTCCTCGTACCCTCTCACTAGGGGCCGTCCTCGTTACTATCTGCCGCTTTACAATTTTCCTACACACGTGCATACACACGTGCATTCGCACGCAACTGCCGACGTTGTTGGCCCCACGGGAGAAGCGAATCACTCGAGCGTATGATTCGATAAAGAGACTCGACATGCTAAAACGATATTAAATAGCGTGTTAATATTCGAGGCGACAGTCGGCTCGTTTGTTCATTTTCTAACGAACTAGGGCAGCCACCGATATACTCATTCATCTCTTTCCAATTGCTCTACGTGCAAGATTTTCAGATTTTACAAAGCTTTGGTACAATATACGCATCCGCATTTGAAATTTATGTCGGCTTATTATCGATTACTGCAGAATATACATTTACCTATACAAATACCGTAAGGATTTCATTTAATATTTTAGTATGAAGCTTTTGAAAAGCGTAGGCCTCGGTCGTAACAGCAAGAATCGACTGAACAAAAAAACAAAAAAACAAACAAAAACAAAAAAATATGTGTGTGTGTGTGTGTGTGTGTGTGTGCGCGCGCGTGCGTGTGTGTGTAAATTTTATAACAAAACTAATTGATAGAGACGATATACATAAATGAAAATAATTATTCGTTAATTTTCTAAATTATATTAAGGATTATAACTTAAACTACGTAAATTTTATATCTCGGTAAAATATTAATTTTAAAACCATACTGTTCTTTAGTCAAGCGAGAATAAGAATGTCAATAGACAAGGAAAATAATGAGTTGAGTAAAAAAAGAGAAAGTGAATATTAATTGTTAAATGACATTTTTGAGCGACGAGATCAAATTTCAGATTTCTTCCTTTCGGAACATGTTGAGCGTGTTGAAATTAACCGCAAGAATGACAAACGACTGCCACATATAAAAACAACATAATTCTCCTTCTCATTTCAATGAAGGGGAGACAATCTTAAAGAAACTGTGTTAAATAGACCGTATCACTTGGACGAATTATTAAAAAATATTTTTCAACTAATTTCAAGCGAAGAATCTAATTAGCCGAAGAGTCTCTTCGATTGTCGACATTCCTTTTATTATTATTATTATTATTATTATTATTTTTTTTTTTTCAAATTTAAAATTACGCAAATTCCGTGCCGGTAATTTCTCAATGGAACACGCTATCAATTATAAATCAGCGATTTCCTTATAATAACGAATGCTGGAAGAGTTCTTCCCTTTCCAAATTAATAATATCGCTATTATTACGTGTACATTGACACGATATGGAATCATTGAACGTAGCAAAGGTAAATTGAAGAGGAGAGCGGGGAAAAGAGACGTCTGAAATAAAGATAAAAGTGGCATTGTGCAAGCAGAGAGAACGAAGGAAGTTGGTGTCGCAAGCAGAGCAAACGGAAGCGCTCGGTCGGGCTAAAGGATAGGTTGGGTGTGCGTTGTAACGATGCCAAGGCTTCTACGCGCTTTGCTCGACTGTTTGCTCGGCCATCGAGAACACAAAGCTCTCTGTGAAAAATTGTCTTTGACCAAGGGAGAGAGTGAGATAGCGGATAGGGAGCAATAGGGGAACGCGGAGCTGCCGTGTAAATTAATGGTTAAAATATGTTTTCAAGCCAAGGGTGCAATGTGGCTAAGAGGATCCTATCATTTTGCGAATATCGGATTTTCTTTACGCTATTGTTATATTTTTGGAAATTGTTTGGAATTTGTTGCGTTAATTAGTTCGTTTTTTTACTATTTATTTTCTTCTTCTTCTTCTTCTTCTTCTTCTTCTTTTGAACACATCAATCGTCGATTTGAAGGAGACATAGGATGAGAGAAATCGATAAATATTAATTAGCAAAGAGAGCTTATAGAGCAACGGGGAAAAGTTTTTCAAGAGTTTTAGTATAGAGACGATGACAATGACGATTATTGAATTTGACGATACGAAGGACAGCGATTACGCTTGAGTAGAGGCAAATTATTATCTACATTACAAACAGCGATCTGTAAATTTTTGTCAAATACTCGATATTATGGGAACTACCGGGTCTTTGGCCAATTTGCATAGTCGTGAAATATTAAAAATGAAAGTAGTGGCGAGGGTTTGGGTCAATGATATAGTCGATGGAAGATATGCGAAAGTTGAATGAGAAAAAGTGGATCAGCAATCTTAGGCGAGTTGGAAAGTGATGTTGTATTTTTCTTATTGTTTATGGGATTAGAATCATCGATTATTCCGAGTTTTATTATTTCCCTTATACACGTATGTGTACCTTATGCCTTATGTCGTACGCTAATTACTCTGGCTAGTTAACGAATACTGGAGTAAACAAAAATTTTAATTTTATTTCTGTAAAATAGAAACGTAAAGCTTCGCCTTGCCTCGTAAGCCAAACAATGTATGCTTTGAGGATTATGCACGAGGCTCTTCCCCATACTTACTTTGTATCATCTTGAGCGTTTTGGCACCATCGATGGCACTCGTGAGACCGTTGCAGCTTGCATCGCCACTTTGCGCCAGATTCCACGTGCTGTTTCCGGATTTCGCATAGACGAAGCAGCGATACCTGCCCTCGTCGTTTACCATGCCGATACCATTTAAGCGAGCAACGAGATATTGCGTGCTTCCCTCCTTCCAAGTGGCTAGACATTCCATCTCCACATCTAGAATTAACAGTGCAGTTTTCATTTTCATAGAAAAAAACATCCCCGCAGACTTTTCACATTATTACGCTCAATGTCGGTGGCTTTAACATTGTTCAACGTTGTTGCATCGACGCGAGATTGGCGAAATTTATTGTCTTAAACATATTGGCAAGTTTATGATCGCTTTCGATCGATTCGATAGTTTCGCGACCCGTGCATCGCTCTATCAATCAATGAATATTAACGAAACCCGATTGATACGTCGAAGTAATAAATAAGACGGGCCCTGGGATCAATTTATGCAATTGTTAAAATCCAAACTAATTGCCAAGTTACACTCGCGTGCAATTAGCATAGAGAGCCGAGTATTGACCGCTTGCATAATGTTCGATAAAGCAAGCTTTTTACCTGCAGCGTTAAAGAGGCGGTGAGAGAAAGAAAAGTTTGATAAAGCGAGATAGGGGAGTGATACAAGTATACGACAATGGATGATTAATGGGATCGTTAATTACAATCGGACGGTGAAACCGAACAAACAGTTTTGCGTAATTATCATCGCGCTTTGTGTGTGCGCGCGCGCGCGCGCCCAACTATCAATCCACCTGCGCGTCATTACTCTCCATATGTACGTGTACACTAGTGTATAATACATGTGATTCCGTAAGTGTAAACAAGCAATTATGCTATTCTGGATTTTGAATACAATTTTACGACATTATTCTCATCAATTACCGTTTACGCCTTCGACTTTTTATACGGATCTTGACTACCAAGCGCTTTTCACATTGTCAATAATTATCCTTTTGAGCTCGTGGATAAAGGAAGACCGCTTTTCTCTAGGCTTCTATTTCAACATTATGGCATACGGGTATTTGTATTTGAAAACGTTGGATTTAAAAAATAAACGAACGAATGAAAGGCTAAAGCTACGTAAGCGTACGTAAGAACGCAGATAATAGAATAAAATTTTATTTTTTTCAGCCTAGCAGAGCTTAGAGTTACCGTTACTTTTATATTTGTCAATTATAAACGACAAATTATTGTTTTAATGCTTAAACTATTTATAAACAATTAATATTGTTTCGTAAGTAATGTTGAAAAAAATTCTAAATATGAAGATTAGTAGTATTAAGTGATCGTCATTCGGCCATAATCATAAAGAATTTAATCGATTTAAAATTAAAATATCCTTCTCCTTGCTAGTTATATAATGGTGAAAAATGTTGTCGTAACAAATTTTAAAATTAATCGAATGGATTAGGCAGTTTTCCGCTTGAAATAGACGTATGAAAAAAAGTTCGCTCCATTATTTTCGCCCTCGCAGATTTTTATTAATAACTTTATCCGATTATTTCCTACCACTAACGCGTAATTAGACAATTAGTTATTAATTATTCCTGCTATGTGACTATGGAATTTTCACTATTTTAATAGCATACATAAATATTGAAATAGCTTATATCTAAATCTTATGACATGCATTAATCGAGCACATTATTTGTTTACTTAATTTTACGTTTTATCTTATAAAATCTTTGTACTCGTATTTTTAATATTTTACTTTATTCTTTATTATTTTCACTCTCATCCTCAATCATGAGTATGAGATAAGAATCTAATATGAAATTGCCGATTGTATTTCAATTCGTCAATATTTAAGATTTTCCACGAGGACGTGCTAATTTCTATGCTAATACCTCGCGTAAGTACAATGTTATGGCGATAAATTTGCGATTAAACGAGTGAATTTGCCTTGGTATGTTGGCAAGCGTCATTCGGCCAGCTTATCATTATCAGCTATCGGCACATCGCATTGCTAAAGAGTAGCGTAAGTCCCCGTAGTCCATGAAAAGGCTATTTTCGAATTAATTGCAATGTAAATGGTACGTAGGGAGGGTGGCGAATTTTTGTAATTAAAAAAAAAAAAAAAAAAAAAAAAAAAAAAAAAAAAAAAAAGTAATAAAGAATTATCAAAAATAAAATAGAAAAGAAAAATGTAAAACACTTAATGCCAGAGCTAACATCTCGCTACATCGATATTAATAGGACCTTCATCCCGACGAGCTGTTGGTATGGATCGATCGGCGCCGATAATCAAAAGCAAACATTTCGCAGCCTTGTAAAATGGAATCGCAAATCGTATGGCAAATTGTATCGCAAATTGTATCGCAAATCGTATCGCAAATCGTATCGCAAATCGTATCGCAAATCGCTGCTACTTACTATAGCTCTCGGTGCCTCGAACGTCGGCACAAGCCATGAACCGCAACAGTAACTTGGAATCCTGCGTGCAGGCGTCCGCTTGTGACATGGGGAACATGCAGGTCTTGGGGTCACCGCCGCGAGTGTAGGTAAATTCAAGTGGCCCGCTGAAGGGGCAAGAGGAGGGGGCGGCATTGGAGCGGCAGAGCGAGTAGAGAATGGGGGCGTCCGCCAAGATTCACCGGTCGTGCAGTAGGCTGTGATTAAAATCAATATTTAGACAAAATATCATAGCTTTTAATCTAAGATTAATTGGTGCGCGGTGGTTGGAGAGGGAGTGGGGGAGAGCGTGTAAAAATTTGTGAAATATATGTAAGTTGTGGCTCGTCGAATTATTGACAGTGAGATGATTCGAATTGTTACGAATTTGTAGCTTTTCATTTATCGACGCACTGCTCTCTTAATAATACGGCAGTTTCTCGTTTAATGCAATTCAAGATTTTCAGATTCCGGCGATATCCATCTGTTATGTGATAATAACTATTGATTATTCATATCTTATTTCTAATAGACATTTATGAAGATACATATTGATTAAGATCCTATATTGGGTTAAAGTGATTATCAGGACTGTAGCGTTTTAATGAATGATGAATAGATTGGTAGAGATGTTATTAATGTTTAAAATTTACTGATTCAATACTTCTTAAATTAATGGTAGAGATGAGTGGATTTGTTTAATAAAATTTTAAACGATTGTCTACGTATGCATGTGAAAATTTTAATTTTACATACATTTTATGACTGTTTTAAATATGGAGATGTATTGTTATTGTTGTTGTTTATTTTTATTTTATTTTATTTTTTTCTTAATGTCCAATCTAATTTAAGAGTTTTAAAATGTCAATCGATAGTATTGTACTTACTTTCTTTATATTGTATAACATTTGGATGTTTTTCGTGCATAACAAGACATCGAGAGCATCTTTCGTTTCTGTAACAAAGAAATTAAGTGCTAACTTTACAAGCATAGGAATAAAGTAATGAAAATATCTTATAATTTTTAAATATTTTAAAGTCTTTGCAATTATTGTTATTAGCAATTTGTATTTTTGTTAATCGAGTTGTGCTTTGAAAACTCGCAGAATTTTATGTCTCAGAGATCTAGTATAATAAATCTAAGTATTTCTTTTATTAAGTCATTTAATTACAATCAACTTTCTATATGACAATTTCATTTTTAATCCATATAATATCAATTTACACTTTCCTTTTCAAGTGTCCTTATAATACATATAAAAGTAACACAGTATGTGTGTTATCCAGTTGTATATTTGCCAATTATGAACGAATGAATTTAACACATGATACAGATATATAAAGCGCTCTAAAAGAGAAACAGATGTAGACTGAGAGAGAGGAGAGAGAGAGGAGAGAGAGAGAGGAGAGAGAGAGAGAGAGAGAGAGAGTGGAAGAAACAGAAATTCGAGAAAGTGCAAAGGAAACTCAAACCAGACGACACTAATTTCTTCTTGGCAATCGTATTAATGCTTTACTCCCTTAGAGTAACCACTCGCAGACACGTATAAATCTACTAAATAATAATGTTTTCCCATTATTTTATTTATTTTTATTTTCTTTCTCTGTATTTCTATATCTCTTTGAATACTTTTCTTGTAGCTCGTGTTTACTTGTGCTATAAACTTTGGCTTATTTATTTATCTTTTATTATTTCCTTCAGTTATTAAGGAGCGTGTGAAAGTCATGTAAACGATTACACAGAAATATAATTCATAACTTAATAGAGAATTTCACATTATTCGAATGTCTCTTACATACTCGTAAGAATTTTTTAAAAATAAAATTTATGTTAAAAACTGTGCACGCAATTAAATTCAACTCAATAATAAAAAACACTCTTCACTTGTTTGCAGCATGAAACGGCACACATAGTACATACGCACGCTCTCTCTCTCTCTCTCTCTCTCTCTGTCGTTCTTATTTTTTTTTTTTTAGCTTTTTTTGCTTATTAATCTATCTCTTTCTCTTATTTATCTGGTACCACTCATTCATTTACTCATTGAAGCTATATACCGTTGCCTCTCTTGTTTCGCAATTCTGCAGAAAAAATAAAGAGAATGGTTGGATTTTTGCCTTTTAGTTTAATTACGATGTCGGTACATATACATATGCATTTATCGTCAAGTTTTTAATTGCTTTGGCGAAGTAGCCAGCAAGCTGTTTTCCTTTTTTTGCCTGAAGAAATCCAATTTTTCTGCTACTCGCTCTGTTTCTTTACCTCTCTTCTTCTATTTTTCTTTTTTCTAAACTTGCTGGTCTTGCTATTTTTTGCATTCGTTGTCTGTTATAAATACAATTACAAGGGACGTGTTAATGGAAACGGTCCTGTATTGAGCATCCAATTGCAATTTAGTCAAGTAGAAATTCGCACCTTCCACAAGTTCTATAGAGTGCGTACAACTTACGAGATCCTGTCATATAAAATAGTATGAAAGGCTTAATTTTTTTTTTTTTTTTTTGAAATTCACAAAAAATATATGGAAGGGGCTTGAATAAAAGATAAAAAATATATCCGATTGATAATTTTTTAATGCATACATTAAAATCAATTTGGAAATTATGATTTTGTCAATGATTTAACATAAAATATAATACATTTACCCTGACAATACAATGTAGGAGATAAAAAATTTTATTAAAAATTTTATATAATTAAGAATCTTCATAAACATTAAATGAGATTTTTAATTTTTAATTACGTGAAATGGAGAAAAAAAATTTATAAGATTATTGATAAATATAATTTTCGAACTTTAAGACTTTGAAACAATTTTTAATTTTAAAACAAAAATACAAATTACTTTTCATATTTTTATGAAATATATGATATATTAAATACCTAAACTGATAATATAGGTTGTCAAGAATGAAATTATAAAATGAAATGATCGAAATTTGATCGGAGATAAAGTTGCATATTACAACTGATCGTCGTTAAAGGCAAATTTCAATAAAATTTCTTGAAAGTAGCATTAAAATTCTCTATATATGAAAATTATCGCTCAATGTGTACGTTGCAATAAAAATTAAAACATTTTCTTTTTTTTTGTCTTTGTTTGTTGACTTAAAGTAACACAAAGTGCTTAAGGAAGATTCAATTTCAGGTGAATTTTCATCGTTAAATAATTTACATATGTATATATGTATTTATATATTGTAATTAAATATGGAAACATGTAATATATTTATAACTGAGTACATAATGTAAATCAATTAATAGGTTGCAATTCTTGTCTTACATATAAAGTGAATAGTTGGACATATTATGCGACAGATTTTATTGAAATTTTCAGTAATTCAAAAAAAAATTATTAATACATAGGAGAATAGCAAGCGCTTAATAAAGGAAAAATTCACTTTATTTAATGGAGGTGATGTTATAAGAAGGAACAAATTAAAGTTCGTCATCTTGATTACCAATAAGATATTTAAGAAAAATTGCCCATTCTAAAAGAGACGAGAGTATGAAAAATGTATTGATTTAACTTGTAATTCGTAATAATTTTTGAAATTATGTTCTATAATGTTCTGGCCATATAAGAATCTCTCACACTATCCCCCTCACCCTCGTTTCTACTCTCCCACTTTACTCTGTTTGCAAGTCTGTTTGTTTGTCTATCCATATCCTCTATCTATCTCTCTCACTATCTATCTCTCTATCTCTCACTATCTCTATCTATCTCTGTATCTCTCTCTCTATCTCTCTCTCTCTCTCTCTCTCTCTCTCTCTCACTCGCTCTCACTCGCTCTCACTCTCACAGACTGCCCCGCTCCTCGTAGTACGGGACTCTTTCTTACGTAGCGAGTGGGATCGTCGTCGTCCGTAGCCGGCGTATATTAAACTCGCGGAGAAGTAAGAACAAAGGTAAACTTCGACTTAAGCCGAGGCTCGTGAAGCTTCTCGGCAGTGCTGACTGACGCTAAGTAAGCGAAACCCCGCAACCGAGCGAAGGAAGAGAGAAAGTAGCGCTGCCACTGTCGAGAACGAGACAAGTTTACCAAGTTTTAAGTAGCTGCGCGCGCGATACTTCCTCTCATAGTGAAATACCGACGCTGGGGAGCAGAAGCGAAAACAAACTTAAGTCTGCGTACGCGTGTCTCGAGCATCACCCGTTGTGCGTGATGAAACCTGTAGCTGGAGGAAAGCTCGAGGCGCCAGTTCCTTAAATCCTTCGATAAGGCGGCGATAATTGATTTGGGAAAGCGTCGAGTGTGCGAGGGATTTTCTGGTGTAGTTCGATTGTCCTTCGATAATCCAGCGCTAACTACTATCTTTGGCTCGCGTGACTCTCGGATAAATATGCCAGTTAATGGCGAGCGAAATGAAAAAGCGGGGCACGTCGTTTACAAAACTCTTATAGCCCAGCTGAACTTTCACTGTTTTCGAGAAACTTCATAATGCCAGATAGAGGATTATTATTAACTTTCAAATCATTATTCAGTTAAACAAACTTAATACCTGCTGCAGACATTATTAACTAGAGAATGAAAATAAGTGCTTTGAGTAACAATACTCCCAATCAAATTAACTATCATTCTCAACATAAATTCTGTTTTAATCGCTTTATCCTTTTCTTATTTAATTTCTTCGATATTAGACCAAGTATTTAGAGTTTAATTTAATTATTCAGTAATTTATTAGAATAATTAATTCGTAATAATACGATTATTGAAAATGTTCTAGTAATGTAATGGGACAAAAAGGACTAATGTCCTATACCAAAAATGTCTCGATCCACTTTGGCGTTTTGCCTTAATCGATCGTAAGTATTCACGGGAGCTTCAATATTCAATAGGACGCAATTGAACGCGTTCAAAATAATGTTTTATCCCACCTGTCCGAGGATATTTGTACAGCATAGAAGGAGATTTGCACTGCCTGCTAATATTATAAGAAGCGAATCATCAAATTTAAATGATGGAATTCTATGAAACACGATGAGCAAGAAATTGATCAACATAAAGCACGTGATGTAATGTATCGCAGCCATTCTCCTTCTTACCTCTCACTTACTCCCCTTTGTCTCTCTGCTATCTCTCGCATTCGCGAAATTAACTATTCTATTTTATAGGCTAAATATGCATTTCAATTGAATATCGGCAAGAATTGTCTCGATATATTTGTCGTGCGTCTCTAGTTTGTCACTTGCCTTAAGATTGATTATTAGGCCTCCACGATTTTGACATTGACTGTAATCTCTCCGTTTTGCTCATCGCCTCCCCCACCCGACCACCAACCACATCCACCCCCCATCGCCCGCATCCCCCGTTCTATCCCCAATCAACGATATTGCCACTTGAATCAAGCCAAGTCTTGCCGAGGTGCCGATTTCGAATTTAACGTAGAGAAGCTCGTTCCTCTTCTTCCGCTCAAAGCTCCTACTTTCACTCAAATCACACACGCGCGCACACACACAAAACTTTCTCATGGTGCACGTGTCACTGACTAGAATTTGCCGACAACTTAAGCTGGTTACAATTTTGACATTCAGGGTTTCATTATAAGATAGTTCACGAGCTTCTATAATATCAAATTAAAATATTTGAAATTCGCAATTATGTTTGCATTATATATAAATATTTTTCTAAAAATTTATTGTATTATAGGGCAGACAAGTGAATTATTTAGAATGGCAGCGGCAAAAAAAAAAAAAAAAATATCACAAATATCGGCTTACATATTTTTTTCAACATAATTTCATTAATTTAATAAAAGTTTTAATATATAAATTTAATGCAATACATCTGTCAAAATACAAAATTGCAAATACTTGATTAAACGCTAATAATCATAGTGATAATACCAGATTAAAAGATATGATGAAAAATCCTTTATAATTTGATAAGCACAAACAAAAATAAGATTTATAAAAATAAATGTCGTAAATATTAAATAATAGAAAGTTAATCTAC